TAACCAAACTGGTGAAGCTGATGACCTGAGAAACCCCCCTGGGAGAAATGTTAGATAGTTTTTTATTATAGTATGTTATAGTGGGCTGAATGCAGATTTAATATGCATTGGAACAATGATTTGGTATAGTTAAATAATTATATTGATCAGCTGGTTTATTGGTTTAAAAATAAATTGAATGAAAAGAACATGAGTTTTATTAGCTAATTAATTTAAACTATTCATTTTGAACAAAACCAGTTGAGTCCACAAAATAAAATTATTACAGCATAATAGCCTACTCTTACTTAGTACTAGTCTGAGCCAAATTTGGATTTTTTTTTCATGCCCAACAAAGATATTAAAAATCAAACTAACTTATTGAAATTTTGAAAATTTTACGATTTTGAAATTTTTTATTTAAAACCCTAGCCTATGCAAGTCCAAAACTTGAACTTTGAGAATATGGAGTACACATCTATAACTTATCAGATAAAAAAATAACAAACACATAACTTAGTCAATTGCCTTTAAAAATAAATTGTTAAAAATCAGTATCCGTAACATCGTTGTTTAAACTTTAAACAGGTAATTAGACTCAACTTATATGGCCTATTTAGTTTTAAGTGCAAAAACCTAGTCTTAGTTTTATAGGCCTATATTAAATAGGCCTAATTTGCAAATAGGCCTAGGCCTATATTAAATATTAAATATAGGCCCTATATTACCATAGGCCTATTAAAGTTTAGTTCTCTCAAGACATTGGTTTTTATTTTAATGTTCTAGGATTAAGTATAGGCTAACCAGAGATATTTAATTTAACGCAGAGCTCTGAAATTGCTGAAAACGGGCATTCGAGTAGGCTAACAAAAAAAATGCCGCCATACAAAAGAAAAATAAAATAAAAATAAAATAGTGGTATTTTTGTACTTCTAATGATAGCCTATATACTTTCAAAGATAAAAAAAAAATTAAAATGTTGAGAAGCACCACCTTTGGACCACTTGAAATGGATTGACCCATGGATCTGGGGAGTTTGTATGTTGCAAGGTGTTAGGGGGCTGAAACTTTGGGCAAATATTTGAAATATCAACAACGCGATATTATGTACTTTTTTGATGTCTACTTTACAGTATTTTTCACGCTGAATCCAAAAATGCAATCAGTTTTTGTCGGAGAGATTCCTAAATGATCATAAAACGAAGGTCAACATTACGAATAATCTAAGGTTAATTGAGGTATACTGATGGCAATATGGCGTGGTCAGGACGGGTCCGTATGTGGACTGAGTACTGAGTGAGGAGGAGAGCAAACAGCTGTTTGTATTCGACTTAATGCAAAATGAAATCAATTCGTTTTGAAACCAGAGATAGCCTAATCAGTTCTTATTTAGGCATGTGAAGAAGGTAGGTCGGGTTTTATCCCTAGCAGTGGCCGATCGACTCCCGGTGACGATCTGACGTTGATGCTTAGAATGGCCAACGACTCCTTGTGACGATCTGGGCCGAAAATTTTTTAGCGGTAAAAAAAACACTTACAATCAACTCAGATGAGAATAATATATATACCATTCGAAAGATCACATTCTGAACTTTCATTTTATTACATAAACAAACTCTGTAGCAGGTATATAACAATGTCACGACGATTAGAAATCAAATGAATTTTCGACGCGGCACGACTTTTGCAGCCGACACTTGGGAACTGGCAAAACACGTCTTGTTTGGCATTACCCTGCTCGGGTAATTTTCGTCGTGGGATGTTGCGAGTGTTACCACTGGATAGCCATTGATTTTATCTTCATTGTGGTAGTAATATTTATAACGAAATATTGATTGCACAACCGGTACGATTTTATGAAAACAGCTGTTTTCGACATTTTTAACAAATGGCCAATCGACTCCAGATGACGATGTGGAAAATACGAATTACATACAGTGTAATTTATTATTACTAGTCATATAGTATATCATTTTGAAGAGGAAGAAATTTAGATTCAGAGAGTGGCAGCCCTGCACTCAGGGTTATTTCTGTATGCTCGCATGTAGACGATGGAAGTGAGTCATTACTGCTACAGTCTGTCAGCTGTCTTGTATTGCCATTGTTTGTTTGTGTTGTTGCCGGTAATAGTTTTATCCGCGATTTATTACTAAATATGTTATTAGTTTGTAGTGTTAGTGTTAGTGAAGTGTTGTGTGTGTGTATAACAGTAATCTTCATGCATAAATATTACTGAATTGTGTGAAATAGTGTTCATAAAAGGTTGTATTTTGTTAGCATCATGTCCTAAAATGACGTTTCTGACATTCAGAGATTGTTGTACCTATATAATGATATACCCAAGGTGTTATACATTTTTATAAAGGTAAATGAATACACTACAACATGTTTATAATGGTTTGGGGGTAAAAAATTTTGTAAAAAAGTTATAGCCTATACTAAATAGGCCTACTACTGTATTTTGTTAGCATCATGTCCTAAAATGACGTTTCTGACATTCAGAGATTGTTGTACCTATATAATGATATACCCAAGGTGTTATACATTTTTATAAAGGTAAATAAATACACTACAACATGTTTATATTGGTTTGGGTGTAAAAAATTTGGTAAAAAAATTATATAGGCTAGGCTACTAAATACTGTACACTCCATTTTCTCGAAATACGCAAAAAATTCAAAACGTTCTCAAATTGATACATAGCCTAATCATAGGTGAAAATAACTTTTTACCATCATACTTATGACTTTTGTGGATTTCCTTATTTCATTAGCTTTACAAATATGTAGGCTACATATCATCAGCCTACATAATGTTTCACAACACAAGCAAACACTGTAGGCTATAGTTTACACTTATTTGCGGTTTTGCGGTTATTGTATTATTATGTCCCTATTACGTACCTACAAAAAAAATATTTCTAACATGTTATACATTTTTATGTAGGTAATTGAATACACTACAAGATTATTATGTTGGTTTGAAGTAAAAAAATTTGGTACAAAAGTTGTATACTAAGTACTGTGAATTTTTTTTCTCAAGAAATCGCTAAAATATAAAAACATTATTTTATATACGTATGTTTATAGGTAAAAAGTTATTTTTACCATAAACTTTATGACTTTTTTTGATTCCTTACTTCATTAGCTTTACAAACATGTATATATCATTATTAGTATACACATATATTATATAACTTTTTACAACATAAAGTAACACTGTACGGTTTTCAATTTTTTCGGTTCTCCGTTTGTCATTATATTTTGCCACAAAAACTTATAAAAAAAAAATATTTTCCTAACATGTTATATATTTCTATGTAGGGAATTAGATTGTCTACAAAATGTATATAATGAATTTTCCATAAAAAATCCGTAGAAAAAAAAATACCAGGGCCGCTTTTGAAATTTCAAAAAAAAAAATTCAATTTTTTTTATTTTTTTCACTTTACCGATAAAATACACTATCTAAATCATTATGATATTACTATTTCTAAATTCTACTGTTCTTTCCGAACAAAATGAATATGAGGTTGGCTAGGTTTACTTGTACGGTTGAATTTTTACGAATTTTCAAAAAAAGGTCTGCAAAATCGCCAAAATGGGTTGGCCATTCCCCACTTCTAACATTGGCCACTGCTAGGGTTATGCGGATTCGTGACTGTATTAAGTGTTTTGAAGTGAGGTTAGATTAGGAAGGTAAAGGTTAGGTTATAATGAACCCACTCATTAATTTATGCTACTTCCAGACTGTTTTGGCACAATTAATAGTGGTCGAAACACAATGAAATAACGATATCAAAAATGCGTAAGCATTTTTGATATTTTTATTTCATTGTGTTTCACCCACTATTTTAATTGTGCAAAAACAGTCTGGAAGTTGCATAAATTAATGAGTCGGTTCATTATAACCTAACCTTTAACTTACCTAGAATCTAACCTCACTTCAAAGGACTTAATACAGTCACGAATCCGCATAAAGTCCGATCTATCTTCCTCACATGCCTTTTCTGACATAAAATGTGATTTAAACATTACTATTAAGGTTGGGTTGGGTTAGGTTAGGTTAGGTTACATTAGCCCTAACATCATTTATTAGTTGCTGATACATTAAATTATGCACTGTGGCACGTTTTCACTTTTAGACACAATGGGATTATGTACTATAGGATTATGCACTATGGCACGTTCATTAACAGACGTTGAGGCATTAGTCAATACAGTAACTTAGTTCAGGATTGGAATGAGGACGATGATCATGTCGGCAGTGGTCTTGCTTCTATTACTGATGTTTTACGTGAATAAATTATATTTTGTTCTATAATTTATGTTGATGTGATTAATAGTTTATTTATCGTTGTTGATTTATTGTATCTTCTAAACAGCACCAAAGTCCATTTTCTTTTAAAAATCTAACTTAGTTATTGCATATTGTTACTCTGATTTTGCTCTCATGGCGTTGTGTGTGGTTTTGTCTGTTTATGGAATGTAAACAACTGACAGCTGTTTCCACTCCACAATTCTTCCTCCCCTTTAAGTGTTAGTCGCCACTAGAACTTGGACTCGTCCATACCACAAATATGTGAATATTACAACAAAACTGAAGCTTAATATTAATTATTTAACTGTACGGTCATTTAGGAATCTCTCCAACAAAAACTGATTGCATTTTTGGATTCAGCGTGAAAATACTGTAAGTAGGTAGACATCAAAAAAGTACATAATATCGCATTGTAGACATACCAAATAATTACTAAACTTTGTATTCTCCCTTAATATTTGGGTGAGAAATTCAATGAAGCAGGCCCAATTGCCGTCCCACTATCTGCCCTCTTTTTATAGATGTAGGGGGTAGTGTACATGCATATAGCTCTGGGGAGTTGGTGGGCCTATATTCTAATGCTACAGGGTGACTTAAGTTAATGATTAAGTTATAGGGGGACTTGATAATTAAGTTAGGCCTATATAAAACTATCCTAGTACAGTAGTAAACCAATCAAATTGTATTGTAGGCCTACTCACAGTCACAGGTAGACATGCATGAATCTTCCTGACAAGGTTTTGTTTTACACCTTCTACACCAAAAATGTCAATGGAATTGCAGTCTTCCCGAGCACATATCCTACACATCATGTTTAGTATGTCCTTTCGCGTGGAATGGCTCGATATCATAATTATTAAGGTACCCAAGGATGATGAATGTTCAGGCTATGGTTTCAGATTCCTATCGAAATTACCAGCCTAGGCCTAAGTTACCTACTTCATTTTCATCAAGTTTCCAAAACCAAGACTTTTTAAATTGCAAAAGTAATAACCATAAAATGTTGTTAACAACAAAATAAGTAAACAAATAGTTTGACTAAGTTAACAAACAATAACAATAACACGAAAATGCACCAGTTGGATGAATGTATGCCATAGCCATGCACAACAGCACAACTGGAATTTTTTTGGTTTGGAATTCCATCCATCCAAATATTCCAAATTCCAATTCCAGACATTCCAGATTCCGCCAATTTAATTCAGTCTAGTGTATGAGTCCTTTCCGTTATTCGCTCTGTTCTTTCTTCGGTATTTGTTGGCAGGCAAGACTGAAGCCAGAGAGCCCACCGCTATACTGTTGTTAGTCGGTACCGCTTTTGACGACGTAGTTCGGGCCGCTGACGCTTGGGTCGTGGTAGTCGATGGTAATGCAGTACGCCGCTGAGCTCAGTCTGCGTTGAGACACGCTGCGTTAAGGTAGCCTGCACCGCGCTCGCGCGTCAGTCCCCCCCCCCCTACTTATCGTCACTTCCCACAGCAACCGGCCTCTCCCTCACCGGTCGAGCTGTCTCTACAAAGCGAATGCAATGAACACGAACGGCAACAACTGCCTCTAACACATATAACATAATTTTATCCATACATTACGCAATTAGAAAGTTATTTGTCAATATTGAAATGCTACAATTAATTGTAGGCTATACAGGAATCCCAATTTTATTTATTTTTTCTGTATATGATTCACTTACTTGAAGGTCTATCATGATTTTAAACTCACATCAAATTACAAAGGTTTGTAAAAAAATTTTGCCTTTCTTTTTACGTACAATTCTGATCAACTTTATAGCAAACCATTTTTATCGTTTAACCGATAGTTTATTATATTGATATTACAACTAAGTTTGTTTTATTTCTGTTGTGGGTTTACATATTCTCTACATAATATAATAAACGTAAAACTAAGAACACGTACGATAATGCATATGCACTGCTTATTTAACAAAATTCTATAACATAAATCCTAAATTTCTTTATTAGGCCTACTTTAAGTTTTAACTGAAAATATTTACCAGAATTTTAATATGGTAAGTGTCGATATGTCCATTGTGTCTTGGAGGGCTGCTGCTGGCGTCGGTGTGGACGACACGGGTGCTGAGACATCGCTGTTATTCCCATCGCCACTTAACGTCGGAATCGCGTGTTTTTCCAGGCGTGTTCTCATGTCACTAGTGAAACACGAACGTTCGAAGTGACGATCGCACACTGTTCGGCGTCTTAACAGAGATTCCGGTAACTCAGACAAACTCTCATTTCCGCAGTTTAAAATCCATTGACTGCACACTTCCGGATTTCCTACTGGAAACTTAAAAAATACTCGGTCTGGGTTGTCTCTTTTAGTAGCATTGCATCTAGAAAAAAAACACTTATCACCCTGTTTTTTTTGCGACGTCATTGTAGAAAATCTTACAGACCGTTATAAAAATTTCATTTTCGATAACAAATAGTACTACTCAGGAAGTCACTAATAACGGGAACTAACTTAAAGAGCTAATAAATAAATAATAACGTTCACCTATATCACAGTTAACGTATACACTGATTAAAGACAACGACTGTTCTCAATGCCACTTCTCAAAATACTGACTAGTTGACTAGTTCCTAGTTCGGAGGGAGGGCTTAGGGTTATAAAAGGCGCACCCATAGGCAGAAAAACCATTTTATGACACAAAAACCATCCAAGAGGGTGTGTTAAGTTGTCAAGTAGTGCCACACTGCCTGCGACCTGTGAAGTTTGGAGAAAGTGTAGTTTAAGTATTAAGTGTGTTTCAAAAAGTAGCACGGTAACAAAAAGTACATGTTGGAAAAATGTCATTGGTCCATACACATTTTAAATTAGTAGTTTAAAAATACATATGTGTATGAACGAACAGTATAAAGGCAAATTGACGACATGGATTAAATACACTGTTGGTTAGTTATTATTGAGGGGTATTTTTTTATTATGCCTACGTTTGTTGATTCTATTTTACATGACATTGACAATAAATATTTTCAGTAAATTAATACATTGTCGTCGATTATAGTAAAAGGGTAAAAGAGTAAAGTTAGGATATTGTAACTATCTGAATTTGTTTCTAAGCAGAATACAGATATTCGAATTTGAAATGACACATGAAAAGTGTGAAAGCTTTATTTGAACTTTGAAACATGGCGGAAATAAATAATTTCATAACATATATCAATCAAATAGAAATATTAACTATATATTATATTTTAATTGGTTTGATTCGCTAACTCAAAGGGAAATGTTGAAAATGTTCAAAAATGTTCATGTATTTTCAAAAAGGTTTATTATGGCATTTTACAGCAATAGCATGCTTACAGACTTTCTCAGAGGCGTAAATAAGTAATGTCCAATCTTACAACATAGGTACATTCATGTAAAGTGTAAAAATCTTACGCATTATAAAATAAATTACTCTATACGAGTAGTTCAGAATAAAATGTTTACCATCATGTTAGGTTTATACTCAATGCCATCATATATAGAAGTATTTTTTTAAACCATATCGGTTTCGCAAGGAGCACGCTTGAATTATTAGCAAAGCCGACAGCGAGCCCCAGCAGCGGGATGAGCTGCGTCATTGTTGCGTCTTGCATGGTTACCGGTAGAGCGCACTAGCAACTTGATGTACTGCATTACCGAACGTCGCGTAGTTCGGGCCGCTGACGCTGCTCAGCCTGGCGCTGCACGGGTAATGCTATACCCCATTGAGTGGAGACTCTAGGGTTAGGTTTATACTCAATGACTGAAGTCATGAAACTGAACTGAAATTTGTTTATGCTGATTCGTGTAGTGTGATTTGTGTGTTTATAGTGGTTCATAGAGATAGAATACTACTATTGACTGAACTGGGATACAACCAACCGGCGAATAAAGTGTTTTGGTGTTGAATGTAACAAGAAGATCATCAACCGGAAATTATTATACATTAAAGGGAATAAATGTTTTATCTATGATATGTTTCTGACGAGACCTTCCTGACAGAAACACCCTCCACCACCAAGCCGTCAGCCGTGCCGACGAACCCGACGAACGCTTCTTTTGTCGTCTGTCTAGAAACGGGAGAGTGGATTCGGAATAGAAATCGGAACGGAGCGCGGATTTCTGTGACTGTGAGTCAGAGTAGTCTCTTTCAGGTTTCAGATTGACTCATTGACTGTCAAAACAGAAAGTGCTATGTCAACTTTGCCAAGTCGGAAACACAAGTTACTGTAAACAATGTAATTAATTAAAAATATGATCAAAAATCGTATCGTAATAGTTTAATGACAGTAAATTATCATCCAGATTTATCATGCTTATTGTTAATTCCTCTTTAATATTGTAGATGTTAAGTTGGGAAATTTTAGAGTGAACATTTTCACTGTCATATTAGGCCTATTTATTTAGTTGTTATGGATGGATGGATCAGGCTACTTAAATCCTAAATTTAGAAATTGTCCAATCCCACTTGATTTCATCATAGGTAAGTTAAGTCAACTTATTGTCGAGTTTCGTTAAAATTAAATCAATTAGTTAAGTTAATCAGGCTGGCCTAAAGTTAGGCTACCAATAAATTGTGTTTACAACATGTAGGCTATATAGCATAGGTTAGCAGTGGGAAAACTGAAACCTGTTTATTTAACTACACACTACACTGCTGGAGGGTTCATTCCAACAACAAACTAGTGATGGGATAACCGAATGGTTTCCATGACCGAATAATCAATCAGTTATTTTTTGCGTCAATCGGTTATTTTTAGTTGAATGAATTACTGAATCAATTTTAGTCATTATTCACTGTCACAAACCACAACTAATTTTTATCCTATGGGAAACTGAATGGCATTTAGTCTTTTAGCGTCAATCGGCGATTTTTAGTCGAACGAATCGCCGAATAAATTTTAGTTACGGTACCTGATGATGTGACAAACTAAATCAACGAAATAACTAAATCGCCGAATCGCATGTTAAGACTAATTTAACCGAACCAGGATAAAATAACCGAATTAGTCTATTCAACGCCAATAACCGATTGATTCGGTTATTTTCATTCGGTGATTCCCACCACTACAACAAACCAATTCCATCTAGATAAGTTTTAAGAAAAATGAATTCAAAGTTCAAAAGGAAAAAAAACTTTATTTAACCCTCCAAGTGTCCATAGTTTTGGTCTTAATAGCCTATTTGCCCATTTATTGCGCAATCGCAAGGTTTTATTAAAATGTATCTTAGAAACTTAAAAACAATGTAAAGTATACTGTTTTATATATCATTCTGTTTGGAAAATTATGGGCTTTAATGTAAAATATAACATTACAAAAAAAATGTTCAACAATTTTTGTGGGGTTAATAGGCCTATTTCTCAAAAACTATAAAATAAATGAAAAAAAAAATTTTTGCGCTCAATAAATTGTTATAATTTATAGCTCTACAAATATTTTAAAATAGTCACTTTGTTCAGAATTTTATGAGGATTCCAAAAGTATAATAACTTAATAGGATAAGGAGTAGGTTTGCAAATAAATAAGTTATGGGCAAAAAACAGATTTCGGTACATAACGTTTAGCTAAGAATGCATACCGGTAGCCTTACCGTAGCTAGGAATCTGGCTGATAATTTACATCAATAACTTATCACTACCTACTTTTTCAGGATCATCCCCCCCCCCCTAAAAATCAGCCCTTCAAAATCACTTAAATCTTCTTAAAATGCACCACGTATATCAATACTTGTGATTTTTAACACTAAAACAATGATAAACGTAATAAAACTCATCAGTCATCGGTGCGAGGTTAACCAAGTTGTTTAGAAATATGCACGTCAGCTGTCTGCTACAATATTTTCGGAACTAAAATGAATAGCGTCTAGAAACAGACATCAGGAGAAAGCTCAGAATAAGCCGAAAACAACAGAACGATGTATACAGTTCTCGATCCAGTTCAATCTGATTTAGTCAGTCCCAGAGCCTTTGCCGTAAACGATGTTTGTGGGTTGCAAAAGCGACGCATTACACCAGGTGGGTGTTGTGCGTCGATTACGCAACGCTTAACCCTCGGAGGGTTAAATTTTTTTGTTACCGGTAACTTAAATAACTTAATTCTAAAAAGGTGTAATAACTTACAAAGTATGAATATAATGCTGCTTTACAAAAAAAACCTTATCAAATCGCTAAAACTAAAATCATTTAAAGGGTAGGCTTTGCCAAACGGGTGTTTAGCCTCAGTGCGCAAGAACATAGTGTATGATATCAGATCCCCCTTATTATACCTAAAGGCGTAGGCTCACCACACCGGAGCCTTTCTTGTGTCAGGAGCCTAACCCGAGGATGCCGTTATATGCCTGTGCATTGACACCAACTCCCAAGGAGCCCCAGGCGGGATTCGAATCCGTAGTGATCGGATGAGTCGCTTTAGCCAAAGCGACTTAACCAACTAAGCTACTGAGGCTGGCAGCAATGAGAAAGACGGTGTTTTTAAGCGCTGAGTTTCTGTAAGTAGTGCACCAGAGAAGCTTGAAACTACTAAGTAACTTAAAACCACTGACAAGACTGTGAGATTAGTGATCTAGCGCGTATCTAGTAGCAAAATCAAGAATTATGGACTTTGTTTGTTGTGGCACTGAAAGAAAATGAGTTTAAACTTAGATATTTTTTACTACAGTATAACTACACGTCAAAATCGGTAAAAAGTGGTCTGATATTGCTCTGAACCCTCTGAAGGTAAGGTAAGTTAAAATCTTTTTTAAATCCTCAATGGAAGGCTGCCACTGTCTGTAATATAAATCTGTGAGTCTTGTCTCTGTTAGGAGATGGCAGAGAGGAGTCAGACCAGCTGAGGTCGGATTAGTGGATTTATTCTGTTACTACTATAAAAAAACTCTAAAACGACCTCTCCAAAAACTTGTTAAAACGGACCATTTACTGTGATATTCGACTTAAATTTAGGAGAGCATTGTATTTAAACACGTGATCCCTGGTCTCAAATCTTTCCCACGAGAACAGTCGTTTCAGTACCGCCCACTTCCTGCCGTTCTAGTCCAGGTAAACCAATGTGCTGATAATAATTGTCCGGTTAAAGATAAGACATTTCCGCTGAGTTTAGTCCGGTTAAACCGATGTCCGGTTAAAAGGTGTCTGAATAAGAGGGAGTCTACTGTAATATCAACAGCTGTTTACCCTCGTCATTATCTCTCCTTTTCAAGTGTTAGGCCTTGTTGTTGTTGTTACAAGTTGGGTAGAATATAGTTCCTCAGAGAACCTGATATTTATTATTGGATGAAATTTTAATTTGATGTAAATATCTATTATAATATTTCTATATATATTGAATTGAATGTAGCCATGTAGCCGATCACTTTAGCCGATGTAGCCGATTGTTTGGACAGAAGGAAAGGATTAGGATGCCAATATTAAAGCTAAAATCTCACAACATAATTTAGTCATCATTGCTTAGTAATATATATCTTCCTTACTTTGTATTTTATCAATGATAAGAGAGTTTTTTACTGTCGATTATTCCTATTAATTACAAACATAGTTTAGTTTATTCGTAATTGTAAACTTTCAATTAATAATAAGTTTGCATATTTCTAGTAAAATGGATGCAGCCATCTTAGTAAATCAGCTTCTGAAAATTCCAAACAAGTATATGAAAATTTTCTCTCAACAAGACAGAGTTGAAGCCATAGTTCATCGTTCCTGGCTGAGGTTTGTATAATTGTACCTTGGCTAAATAATAATAGGGCTATATGTTATTGATGATATGCGCTACCAAGGGCTAATTTGTCAGTCTCAATATACACTATTTTTTGCTTAAAATAAATCTTGCTTTACAGTAGTAGGTGGTCTTGTGCACCAGAAATGAGTGCTATTTTAGTCATAGTCTTGAACAGGGTTCAATGTTGATTAGCAAACTTTAACATTCTTAGACTTCTTAAAAAAAGAAAAAAACATTCTTTTGAAAATGTGTTAGAATGTTTGACAAAATATCTTAAACAAATGACTTGCTTTGCTGTGATATTTCACCCAATCATAATAGTAATTCATTATTAACTTAGTTAACTTCTGGTTTCTGCTGAAGGGACTTAGAAGAACACAACAATGTGCCCAATGAGTTCATCTTGCATGATCAGCTGTCTCCGTCTGAGGTGGAGGCATGGTTTAAACAGGGAGAGAACCTGGGATCATCATGGATTCACCTACTTTTTGTGGTTTGTATTTATCAGCAATTGTTATTTAAAAATTAAAAGTATTTCAAATAAAAAAACCTATTTCAAGGGCTATTTGTAAAATGATGATTAGTTACAATGAATCTAAATTGACTTTGTACCCTCAACGCTCAAGTAACTTTGTAACGCTCAAGTTGACATTTGAATCATATTGTTTATCATATTGTATTTAAGTATTATTTCATGTTGCCTTAAAACAGTTATTATGACCTAATACTCTGCACTACTACCTTGCAATAACAAGTGCATGCTAACCAGACCAGCTAGCGCCAATTTTTAGATGTAACTGATGTTGCAGGTGGTAGAGAAGCTTGACACTCCAGTGATTCCACTCCCGAGACTCAAACCTGGTGGAAAGATAGAGGCAGTCTTGTCCTATTACCAAGTATTACATTATGTCTCCCACACTAATCACAAAAATCTCTGGAAGGAAGCTTTCAAAAAGTATTCAAGTATGTGTAGAGTTTTTCTTTAAAATTATTTTTACAAGAGTGTTTGCACTTGTTCAAGTGGTATTAAAATATTTCAGGATATTTTTAATATTTGATAAACAGTGAGTGTATCTATTGTGGGCTTTCAATAGATATCTTCTCATACCATTCCTTCTGAGTATGCTCAACCAAAGCCAATCATTAAAGCAAATTCAGTGGAACCTTGATAAGAAGACCCTCGATAACAAGTCACCATGGATAACAAGTCACCCTTGATAACAAGTGCCATTCTCAAATCCTTTTAAAATTATTTTACCCCTCATCACATGTTATTACAAACCTCGATAAGAAGTCAACCTTGATAACAAGTCTTATCTTACAATCCCCATGAGAGTCTTGTTATCAAGGTTCTACTGTTCTGCCAAACCCGCTCAAAAGTCTTTAAAAAACCTTAGATCAATGTCAGTTTATTGAGTAGGCCTATGCCAGATTGTGCTTACCGGATTAGCACTGTACTAAACCGTATCAAAAATTGTTCAATTTGTTAGTTATAGAAGTATTTGACTTATACCTATGAAAAAAAAAAAAACATGACACCATCTAACAACATTTACCCACTGTAGAAAGAGTATAGAATGATATTTTTTTCATAATATTAACTGTTTTGTAGTTTTCGTGTTACTGTTTTTTGTTTATATGACTTCATTTGCATGCTTATATCTGGTGTCATCACTACATTCTTGGTCTTCCAATGAAAGTCGTGTCAAATCGGTATTTGCACTAGTTACATTAGGGGCTACCAAAATGCCAGACATTTCGCTCATCCTATGATATGGCATCCTCGGTGGAGACTGCTTTACCAGTGAGGATAGCATTTCGGAGAATGTGTGAAACATCTGGTATTGGAAGTAGTGTGAATACCGCCGAGGATGTAATTTGTTTATAGGTGTTGGAACTCTCTTATTTATTAGGTAAACTTAAGCGTTACCTTATTTTGAGAATTATGATAGGTATGGTACCAGTATTATAGATACCACATTATTAGACATGTAGAGCTATTAGTAATCTACTATATTACAATACAATTCTATTGTTCTATTGTTTCAGATAATGTATACAGTGGACGATATTCAGACCATTCTACGATACAGTTGACAGATAGTTCTAGAGTGTTGCGAAATGTGATCACTCGAGCGTACGGTTGCCCCATTCTGTCACTCGATGGCCGACCTTTGCCAGTAGAGGAGAATGTCACCATCCATCCCAACCTATTACCGTGTAGATTCGCTTTGGAGGACGGCAAAAGTTTCATCTTAGTCTTTGTGAGTGGTTTATGCTGCATTTCTTTATGTCACTCTGACAGATAAAAATTATATGTAAACTTAGATATACAAAAATCTAAAAATGTTGTACCCGAAATAAGTCTGTTGGCATTGTATTTAGCACTCAAATTTAGATCCAAAGTCAATTGTGAATATCATAGGAATGTCATGAATATCATCCATGCTGATCCAAGTCCATGATATCCCAGGTACTTGCAAGACTAAGTCCACAGACTCAAATTTGCTCGAGAATGATAGCTAAATTCAATCCTTTAAGGAAAATCATCAATCAGACATGGTTTATCCTGGAAATATTGAGTAAATCTACAAATTTCTAATGTCTTTGTTCCATATTTAATGAGGCTCATTAATATTAAGTAACAGCAACTTCAGTAACAATATTTTTACCAAATGTACAGTAACACAGTGAAAATCTCCAAAGCTATGTTTATGCAACAGTTAAGGATTAACCTAATGTTAAAAACAATTTTTGGGAAAAGATATTGTTGAGAAAAGTCTTAAACATTTTTCTTGTTAACTCTGTAGTAAATATGGCATTAAAAAGTGCTGTAAACATATTTAATTATTTATTTGATTAGGCCTTTAATTTTTTGTAGAAAAAAATCTTTGGTGTAGGCTCACCTCAATATATTGTTCAGAAGATATACAGAAAACCATATAAATTTTCCTGTAAATGTTATCCCGTGAAAAATGCTTGATAAAACATCAAGGTGAATTCTTAAAGGCATTTGATAATGATAATTGAAAAAGACAAACTTTCACTGAATTTTCTGGAGGTAAACATGACTTTTAATCATCATGACAAAATCGTGATAATTTCCAATGATCACAGAAAATTGTGAAGATCGTCTGCAGCCATAAAGACATTTATCATGACTGTCTCCCGAAATTAAAGTAAAACTGAGGATATCTTCTACAACTGTGTCCACATTGTCCTGTCCTGATACTTCCTGAACTTTGTCCCAAAATCAGGCCAGGAATCACTATGTCCCTGGCCCAATTGTTGCAATTACTTATTCGTTGCTATATAGGCACGTATTAATTGTATTTAAATCAACTTATTGTTCCTGATGTGTTGGTGTTGTAGGAAGGTGTACCAAGCCACACACTACAAGACTGTGTAATGTTCAGTCCAGCTGTAGTCAACTGTCACAGCAAGGTCCAGTGTTTGGTCTACCAGCTGTTTTGTCTACTAAGACATGTACATGACAAGGGTCTAGTGTTGGGTGACATGGTATTGTTGGTGTTGTAGGAAGGTGTTCCAAGCCACACACTACAAGACTGTGTAATGTTCAGTCCAGCTGTAGTCAACTGTCACAGCAAGGTCCAGTGTTTGGTCTACCAGCTGTTGTGTCTACTAACATGTACATGACAAGTGTCTGTTGTAGGAAGGTGTTCCAAGCCACACACTTCAAGACTGTGTAATGTTCAGTCCAGCTGTAGTCAACTGTCACAGCAAGGTCCAGTGTTTGGTCTACCAGCTGTTGTGTCTACTAAGACATGTACATGACAAAGGTCTAGTGTTGGGTGATATAACTCTGGCAGATATACATGTAGATGCTCACCTCTGGATACAGGTAGGCTACAACTGAACACATAGTGTAAAATGGCATATCCATTAATTTTTATAAATTCACTCATTTTTATACCGCTTTTTTATTGCTTTAGGTAAGCTGTATTTATTTCCTGCGTCAATGACAAGTGAATTCTCAATTGTTTTTGTTAAATTGTATCCACTTATAATAATGATATTTTTCCTTCTATTGAACTAATATCCAGACAGTTTCTAGCAGGCAAACAATATTAATGATCAAGCCAAATCAATTAATGTTTCTTTTTCTTTTTGTTACTTACATGATTGAATAAATGAATCAGGTAGGTCTAGATGATGTAAGATTAGGATTAGGGAACTCGCTTAGCTAAGCTGGGTTCATCTTTAAGAAAGGTATCCAACAATTGTTAGTGGTTCAATATTGTCCTTCAAAAAGTATACCTCAGTCTGTAACAAATCTACTCAATGCATCAAACTAACCTTTAACTGGCTCTTTCACTATTTCATGAAATGTACAAATTGCTACAATTAAGATGGCTTGTTGGATTTATGAAAGGCTCCCAATAACACTGAAGGTCACTCGTAGACACAAGTGGTATTAGATTAATCCAACAGCAAATCATTGTTGAGATGGCTATACAAAATAGCAAAAGCAAAACATTGGTGAGCAACATTTCTCGTTTGCATGTGCAATTTGAATCCCGCTCACGAATCTGATTCAACTGATCTATATTTTTGTTTACAGGTAATACCTAAGCTAACAGCCAACCAGTATTCGTTCCCCTCTGCGTCTTCAGTGAAAGAGAAAGTGAAAGATGTACCTGCGTCAAACTCAAGCTCCACCAGTGACCAGAAACTCACTGAGCTCACATTGGCTTGGGTGAGAGGAGCTGTCAATAATCTGGATTACCTCACTGCTCTCAATAATCTAGCTGGCCGCAGGTACCATATTATACAGGGTGTAAATAAAGTCCCGCACAGGTTTAATGTATTCTAAACGATAACAGATAAATAAATAAGATTTGGTACATCTTCACGACATATAAAAATGTACTTTTTGAAGGAAATGTCAGTTTTCCGTCATATCACGTTGACACGCAAGGAATCAAAAGGGAAATTTAAATAGGAGCATAGGTTGATATGTACATCCAATTAAAGGTCTTTACTAGTAGACGTCCTTGATCAATGGGTCAATGATCCTGGATAAAAAAATTGCTAATCTTAGTCAGTAATAAAGCAAAAAGCAACACAAATTGTCATAATCATCCTACACAGATCTCCCACCCATACTTGCATTCAAGTACTGCCCAGTTGTGTTCAAACTCAAAATAGTGACATTGAGATTGAGAAAGAATAAACGGATACATAACTAACTTACCCAAGAGCTATTTCCTTTTGGGGAAGCTTGTTGAGGCAAAATCTTAAATTAATTGAGTTGTTATTTTTTTTGCATTCTGTCGAATACTGGGAATTATCTTCTTGTTTCTTGTTTAAGTTACCTGTGTATCCACCCCTTCCTTCTTAAGCTATGGTTCCACAGGATGCGATTTTTTTCCGCTGCGGAATTACAACGACACTGGTTTAATGGAGTTCCCATGTGTGCGGTTCCACGGACGTGCATTTCCACATCCCGAACTTTCAGTTCCGCATGGCGGACAAATCATACTGGTCTGAGAGCAGTGGCAGTGCGGATTCCGCCAGCGGAGAAGAGCCATCGATTAATTATTGTGACCGATCAATTTAGTTTCCTAACATTATTTCAATAACCTTATTCTTTTTTGGGGCTTGTATATTTATTCGTGTATCAATAAAACTACAATTTAAGTCCAAATTATTATTTTATTTATGTTTACTATCACAATCCTCATAAAAAATTAATAAGGTAATTTTATAAGAACTAGGTTTAAAATCAGTTTACAATAAAAGTAACCACAATTAAAAATAGTTTAGTCTGAATATTACCTAATATTATTTTAGGGTATTTATGGTATTCTATTTGTGTTCCATACTCGTCGCTAGTTTGGACAGAACTGAATTTCCGCTACGTTATTTCCGCAGTCAGTGGAACCACCCCTCCAGATTTACGCTGCGTAATTCTTTGCAGCGGAAAATTACGCACCGCATGGCGGAAGTTCCGCAGTCTGTGGAACCATAGCTTTAATCTTAATGTAACCTAATCTAGGCTAAGGAATTCTTTCTCCAAAAACTAACCTTACATAGTTATTTAGTGATTGTGAACTAAGCCTATAATAGTTTTAACTTGTAGGTTTGGAGACCCTCGCTGCCACCACGTAATGCCGTGGGTGACAGACTTCTCCGCTCCTAGTGGTGCCAACTGGCGAGATCTCACCAAGAGCAAGTTCCGCCTCAACAAGGGCGATCGACAGCTAGACTTGACTTATGACTTGCCTCCAAGTTGTAATTCTGCCCAGGTTAGGTTCATCTCTCAACCCTCCTGTTGTTGTTAAATCATTTCAACTCGACTCTAAACTAAGTTTTGTACAATGATCTTCTTACAGCAAGATTTTGTATATTGGCCACCCGGGATTTCAGTGAGATTGAATCTGAATGTAAGAGAGGGTCGGCCCTAGTCACACACATGCAGGCCTCACACATACAGACACAGGGGATAACGACGGACCATTGAGAGTGTGTGTGCGTGAGTCGGGTCCCTCACAATTAGGGCGGAGCTCCAGCTGCACTCCCTGAGAAAACAGGGTAGAGTAACCATTGAATTCCATGGGTGTGAACGTTGAACTATAGGGTGGGGGGTAGCGCATATTCCTGAAATTTGTCAGCACCTCGCAAGTAATTCATGTTGCCTCTTCATAATTGTGTACAATTGTTACTCAATATAATCTATGGTATCTGTTAAAATTTTGGTTTTTTTTCTGTAATTTTCAGATATTTTCGCTTATGAAAAAGGATATATTAACACATATTTTTTTATTATTGGTAAGTTTTACATCACAATGGCAACACACTTACATTATTTATCGTAGGTACCCCACCACATATCAGATGTGCTGTCTGAGATCACATACTACGTGTATCTGGCCCGTGTCACCCCAAGGTCTGTGCTGTGTCAGTACGTCAGGCCACAGTGGGTTCCTGCTGAGTATCCTAGCTCTATACAGCGATTGCAGCAGTGGACACCGGATGAGTGCATCCCGGAATTCTTCACAGATCCTTCTGTATTCAAGGTAAAATTTACTGAAGGAATCAAATTTAGATATTTAAAATCACTTTGATTGATTATCTGGTTGGCATTTGTTTGAAACACTTTTTATCATTATTCTAGTTTTCAATCAAAACCAATTTCCCAGAGAATACAGTCACCAGTTTAAAAGCAATTTATATGAATAAATAAAATAAATCCACTTGTTATCAAAGAGCTTCAATTATGTAATGTAAAAAAAATGAGTTCTAAAATAGAGCCATGTGGTACCTAAGATTTGATTTAATTGCATCCATTTGGTTGGGAGTTGGGGCATAAGTTTAAGATATAATTTAGATTTTTCATTTATTTAAAGGAAAATGGCATTATTTATTTTATTGTTTACTGCTTTTGGACCCAGAGTTGAATATCATGAATTTTGGAAGATTGTGGGACTGGTCATCATAGTAAATTTGTCATCAATAATAAATGTTATATAGTAGTTATAACAAAAGGTCCCAATATATTGTTTCAACATATTTTAATGGCGTATAGAGAACTGGATGGTTTCAATGATTGATATTTCTACAAGCTGGTCATATTTGGTATTATCATGAAAGTGTAGCTTTTTGTACCAACAAAGCAGTTATGTGAATGTTGAATCTTTGATAAGGCTTTTAAACAATTCTCACTGATGTTTTTTATAGTAGTTTTTCAACTTTTGTGTAGTCCATTCACCCAGACTTGCCAGACCTAGAGGTACCGTCATGGGCATCGTCTGCTGAACAGCTGGTCGCTCACCACCGGGCTGCGTTGGAGAGCAGCTATGTTAGCGATAGGCTCCATCATTGGATAGACCTCACCTTCGGATACAAGTGAGGCTCTATTATCATAATTCAAATGGCTAGATAAACATTTGCTACCTAAAAAATACATTGGTACCTGACCTTGTGGATTTAAATAAAACAATTTACTAGTCTATAAGGGAAGTATAGAGACTTAGTTTGCATAGTGGCTAGAGCTCAGATTTTCTGTTTAGAAGCCTGATTTGAAGCTTTAACTAAGACCAAATGCAATTCCCAATGATTTAATGCCGTGTTTTGGAACCCACTTTGCATCTAGTCATCCACTTATCAAGGAAACAATATTCTCAAGTGGGGAAAACTATCTCAGTAGGCCTAATATAGGTCCGTTCCTTTCAAAAAGTCATTAAGTATTGTTTTGGGCCTGAACAGCACATTTGTAAATGTAGGTCAAACACTCCCGGCACGATCACCAACTCATCCGGCAATCAGAGCGCCAGCGTGAATGTCGTTTTTACCATTTTCCATGTTATCCGACCTTTTTTCTTATACGAACTTGCTGCGGCCTGGTTAGGTCGGATAGTCAAGACTACTGTCTATAGCTGTTAATTTGGTAAGTGACAGTGTGTCTTTGCCAGGTTGTCAGGCCAGGCTGCTGTCAAGAGCAAGAACGTCTGTCTACAGCTGGTGGACGGCCACACTGAAGTCACGGACTGTGGTGTTGTACAGCTGTTTACCTCCCCCCACCCTCCACGGGCCGCCCCCTCCCCCTACTGGGGCGTCACTCCGCCTAGACTGCACCACCACCACCCCCGACCTGCCACAAGTCAGTAATGTATCTGAACAGTGTATACTTTTAATGCAAATCATAATTTAAAAATCCGATTCACTGATAATTTTAAATCTCCACAATAAAGGACATCTGAGTCAGGTTCTAACTAATTTTTCTATTTTTAGCTGAGTGATAGCTTTGCTTTTAAATATAACCATTAACTCTACATCCTATTCCCTCATTTAAGTTGGAGCCAGTTTTGGAATAGAAATAAAAAAAGTTTAACCCTCCGAGTGTCCATAGTTTAGGCCTTAATGTCCGCCTATTTTTGGCGCATTTGCAAGGTTTTATTAAAACGGATCTGAGAAGCTTAAAACAATGTTAATTCTACTGTTCTATATACCATTTTGTTTGGAAAATCATGGGCTTCAATATTATACATAAAACATAAGGAACATTTTGTTTCAAAACAATTTTTTAGGTAAAAAAAAAGTATTTTGGAAAATTTTCAAAAAAAAAAATAAGTTCGCGCTCAATGAAATTGTATAAATTATAGGCCTATAAATATTTGAAAATAGCCACTTTGTTCTAAATTTTATGAGGATTACAAATATATAATAATATAAGGAAGTAGATTTGCAAATAAATAAGTTATGGGCTAAGAATGCATAGCCTAACCATAGCTAGGAATCTGGCTGATAATTTACATCAATATCACTACCTACTTCTTCAGGTTCATCAACCAGCCCTTCAAAATCACTTAAATCTTCTTATAATGCACCATGTATATCACTACTTTTGATTTTTAACACTAAAACAATGATGAACGTAATAAAACACATCAGTCATCGGTCCGAGGGTAACCTAGCTATTTACAAATACGCACGTCAGCTGTCTGCTACAATTACGATCGGCTCGGAGAACATAAAGCGCTTAGAGACAGACCTCTGGAGAAAGCTTAGAATATAAGGAAAAGAACGATACCTAACTCGATCCAGTTCAATCCGATTCAGTCAGTCATAGAGCCTTCGCCGTAAACGATGTTCGTTCGTAGAAAAATCGACGTGTGACACTACACAAAGTGTGTAGCGCGTCGATTTTTTGACGAGTGACGCTCGGAGGGTTAATAGAGTCATTAACAGTGTGCACCGTTGTAAAATAGTGATTTCAGTCGAATACGCCAACTTTTTAATAAAGTTAAATTAGAAGGACAACTTATCGTAAACAAGGTGAAGTTTTCTGTTACTTAAACAAACTTAAACGTAAACAAAAATAAAAGAGAAAATAGAATTTTAGACTGTAGCACACCCTGTTGGTGGCTGTTTCAACTTGATTTAAAAAAATGTCCAGCTGATTTATATAAATGGGCTGTGTACTTCAGTATCAGAGAGAACAAAAAAATAAATAATAATAATAGGGCTCCAATCTGTTGTTAGACTTTGTAAATTGTTAAGCCTAATTATGAGTTCTTGGTAATCAAAAACCTAACTTATTTGTTTAGTTGAAACAGCTTTTGATTCTTTTATATGAATACCAAAGGTAAACATGGGAAACTCCAAGACAACTGGGGCAAAGCCCAAAAGGACTTTTGAGATAAGAATTTGTCTACAATTTTAATCGGGAATAGGAGATATCGTCATGCCCAATTCCAGCCCAATCTGACAAGTAGTTAATGCGTGATTGAGCCCCAAACAAACTGTTAAACTTACAAACAAATACATAAACTTTCAGCAGTATTGATTGAATCCCTGCAACCGAGTTTTTAGTTAATAGATTAATTTCAGATTTTTAGTTATGTACTCTTAAAAATTGTTGATATAAACTGTGTGTACTGTTTGTAGAGGGCAGTGATGAAGAGGAAGGTCCCAGTAGTGGAGGGGAGGACAGTGTTGCCAACACTAACAGCCAAACTTCCCACTCGTCTCCCCTAGCTCTCACTAGACTACTGAGCCGATCCCGTGGATCTTTGCAGGTTAGACATTTTTGTTTTGACAAAACAAAAATTCTCCATCTGTTATTGAACTCTTCAGTTATGTAGGCCTAATTGAATCTGTAAATTCGCCAAGGGGACTTTAGTTGGTCTTGTGAATTTATTTAGTGGGTATTATGATCAATCTCATTTTTTCAGTATTTGAACATTGTAAAATTGAAATTTACTTTCTCTTGCAAGACTTATAATGGCTAGTCTACAAGGAATGCAGTACACTAGGCCTATTCATATTTATATTGTGATTGGATGTGTAAGATTTGAAAAAGCTAGTAATGTAATTAGAGTAATTACATTAAGATAGTTAGGAAATCTTGTAAATATATGAAATGAACTAACTAAAATAATGTTAATCACTCAATTACAAATCACATTATGAAAGAAGCAATAGATATAACTTACCAAAGGAAAGAGTTCCAGGCATTTAACAGCTCACAAAAAGTTCACAAACAATTAATTTGATATTTCTCCCCTACAAGGAGGGAAATAAATAGTATAATCAAATTAGTTGTGTTGTGAACATTTTGTTCTGTTAACTGCCTGGAACTTTTTTTTTCATGAACATGATTGTATGCAGCCATTCCTTTTCCCAAATGCATTCCTAAGCTAGGTACTTTTCCTCCAAAAACTGACCTTTCTAACTTACTAACCAATTATGATTGTAGGCAAGTGGCTCCTCCCCAGGAGACAAGCAAGGCAGCATCAGTCTCCCTCATGACTACAACCCTGTAGCTCTGCTGACCTCTGTGGAGGCACTGTACAGCTTCACAGGCACAGGACCTACCAAGGTCGCTGACTCTGTGGGACAGGCTGCGCAATGCAAACAGGTGGTGGCTGCACGCAGACAGCAGGAGATGCTGGTCAGTCTGTGTAAAGGTTAAACATAGCTGCATAGCTGAGCGGTAGTGGTCGCCTGACAAAAGTCAATGGTTCTGTCCTGAGAGAAGTCAGTAGATTTAATTTTTTTTTATAATTAGTCCTGGGAAATGAAACATCTGGTGTTAGTCGAGCCACACAAGGCATCTCACTCCATTGTTGATTGTTTGACACGTCGTTCCAGTACCCTGTTGGATTATGGGAGATTATAGAATTCTGGAGTTAGCCCACTAATAATAACCTTATTTAATCCTCTGAATACGCTTCAGGTGTTACTTGCCTCATTTTTTCACTGGACAAAAACCACACACCCAAAGCACAAAGTAAAAACTTTGAAAACCCACAGTTAAATTTATAACACATGCTACACATTCATTGTTGTTTTCAGATTCTGGGATGTCTCATTGTGGAAATGTTTCTCAATAGCAAGGTTCGTTTGTTCAGCCAGAAGCTGTGTCTGGAGGAGCGTTTGTCCGTTTGTCAGTCTGTGTTTGCTGCTAATCGGGACACAGTACCTCGCTGCTTCCGCTCTCTGGTGGCTTTGCTTCTTGATGGTTGGTAGAAAACCACCAAACTAATAATTTTTTAGTGATATAACCTCACTGAAATGAATGACTTGATTTTTACATATATTTTTATAAAATTGAATAGTGCAGAGTTCCTACACATTTTCCACCTAGAAGTTCTTATGTCTAATACTTTTCATGTCTTTGGGAAATAAATGGCTGTGTTGAATTGGCAAAAATATGAGCTGACGTTTTGCATGTGTTACAGCATTTTATCTTCAAGGTAAATAGGACGAAGGTCCAATTCAACTGTTCTAAAGCAACTTAATGTTGTTGCAATTGCTGCAACACTAACAAAACATTGGCAGCTCTCTTTGCCAATTTAACCTTGCAGTCTTTCTTCTGAAGACCAATATTCGACAGTTTCCTTTGACTGTAATATTTAACCATCAAGAAAATATCCCAAAGTCAATTTAAACCAATCAATGTAATTTTGGCAATGTTCTAAATTATTGATTAAATTGGGTATCTATTGAGTATTCACCCACTTGAATGACAAGACGTGTGTCCTTAGTTAAGATTGTGTTAGGCTTTATTGTTTTTTACTTTCTCATAAAGAAACTATTGTATTCGTCTAAGTTTTAGAGTTTGATTTTTTGATGGATCCATCCGTTTTGGGTCCCCCTGAACCCAAAAAAGAGATTGTGTGTATGTCTGTCTGGATGTGTATATAGCTACAGACTACACTTGTGGTCCAATTTTCACAAAATTTGGTATATGTTTGCTCGTCTTTAATATCTCCAGACGTTTATTTTTAATCTTTTAGAAATTTAAATTCTTAATGAAGATTTTTCCCATAAAAACGGCATTGTTAGTTACAACAACGGAAAAGTTATATATCCACAAAAATAGCTTGAACTCTAAACTAAATTTACAACCTCTAATGCTGTAAAAATTGTGGTTCATAAGAATTTAAAATTTTTGTTATTTTACCCATAAAATATCATAGTTACCCCCACCGCTTACCCATTATAAAGGGCTTAGACAAACTGATGGGATAAATTATGTGTTCTGATTCAGTTTATTTTCACTATGTGGAATCATTCCACATAATCATAATCACATGATCATTACAGATAGTGACAGTGAGGCCCCAGTCACTTCAAGAGGCTCCCCTCCCCCCTCTGCTCACCAGTTGCTACAACCTACACTGTCCTCCAGCCTGCTGCCCCTCCCCCCCACCCTGCCTACCGTGTACAGTCTGGTGACAACACTAAGAGAGCACACTGCAGCAGTGACTATATTGCAGACCATGCGAGAGACTCATGCAGACAGGGAAGATGCTTTGCTGGCCTGCATTCATAAACTCAATCAGATGAAGGTAAAGTAGCCTGTAGATATGTGTCACTGAGCAGGATTGTTTTGTTTATACCCAATAGAATGAGGATGAGATAAAGTCGTGATGGATTTTTCAATGCCAAAATTACAATAGTAATATGGCTATTTGTCCTTAGGTCTGTGGGTTAATAAGTTCACTTCAATCAAAGGTCCTAGTGATTAGTGTCTCGCACTTGGTGTAAGATGGAATGGTTTGTTTGTTGGCATATCCACCAAAATTTGAGATGTTAAGTGGTTTTTCCACTAGCGTAGACGTTAGGTTTATCTTTTCAATTTGTCACTTTGATTTGCTGTTCAGGTGGAGAGTGTTGCCAAACACCTGCAGCAGTTGACTGAACACCCTCAGTTCACTGTAGACCTGGTGTTGAGTTATGTCGTTGGACTACTGGAAGACCCTGACACAGCTGTGTCTGCTGCTTGGTACCTCTTTGACCCAATCGCCAAGTGAGTTAGTTTTGCATATTGATCAAATGTTTCAAATTATTTTATGAAGTGAATTGCCTATGCATCGACATTCTACATGCATTAACAGCTTAAATAGCTCACTGGGGGACATAAATTTTAGATCCACTTCTAGAACGGCTGAACTGGAGGGAGACTATATTTTCGGTTGGTCTTGTAACTGTGAACTGATCCCTGAAAAAAATTCTCTTAAGTGGCATTTTAAAATCTAAAACCCCCCACCAAATTACTGATATTCTTTCCCATATTATTATTTTGGGGAGTAAACCCTGTGTCTAACTTTGGTATGGGGACGTAAACCCCTTCCCAATGTGCTGCAGATTTATAATTTGGCAAGAATGTGTGTGATATCAAATTATTGAGAAAATGTCCATAAGTGATATGGAATTAAAGCTCAAGCAATATCACCAGTGATTTTTATTGACACTTCACAAAACATGTTGCCTATATTTAACCCTCTGTCGGTCACACCACAGAGTTTTCCAACTGTACGTACTTTTAATATGTTTTTGTATTATTATATGTAGGGATGGGCGAGTAGTGTTTTTTTGAGTCGAGTCGAGTAATTAGCCCTAATACTCGAGTATCGAGTCGAGTCGAGTCGTTCACGAGAAAATCAACAATTTTATTTTACATATAGCTGTGGCAAAAAACCTACCTACATCTTCATTTTTACGAACAAAGCATTTCTCAATTCACCAAAAATAGACCTGGTTAAAAGCTTTTATACCATATAAAAAACACAATATGTATGTGTATCAAACTTATATTTTGGTGTTAAAGGTTATTTATTAATTGCAAAAAAAAATGCAAAAATATGGAACTAAGTGTTTATTTTAAAATAGGCCTACTGTAAATGTTTGAATTTGACTAAAGCATGAGATCTAATCAAGTTTCCTCTAATTTATAAATAGGATTATAAGTATTTATCTAAGTCATTTCTCAGTTTTTGTATTTATTTGAAATTCCATGAAATTGTCTTAGTTAACTCATTAGTTTATAATTTTTTTTTAAATTACGTAGCCTACATCTTGGTCTACAAATACTCTTTGTAAGGTAAGCTTTTTCCCCCAAGTGAGTAAAAACTAACTTCCTATATAATGACATTTTCTCACTAATTATATATCTTCAAAATTTGTTTAACTATGAAAAAGTCACCAAGTCTAGCTGAAAACATAATCATAAATGAGGATATTTTTGAAATACAGAATAACTAATCAAACAAAATTTTTAACACTTTTACTTCTTAAATTTTTTTCCTTAAAAATGTCAACAGTTTTTCACTTATTTTTAATATAGATTATCACTTATAATTGTTTTAAAGAAGTCCAGATGTGTGAACTTGAAGAGCAGGCAAGAGACATACGTCACTGCCACAAAAACTCTTCTCTACTGTGAAGTGTGAATGAATGAACTGTTTATTGTGTGAAGCCCCACCCACCCAACGGGACATGGGGGAGGAAAAGAGAAAGTTTGGCAGAATTTGCCCTTGTTCTAAAGCCTGGTTCACATGCCCTCCCTCACCCTCGGCCTCAGTCGCTTGCAGATTTCCATTACACAAGAGTGTTATTTTGAAATACTGTAAATGTTTGAATTTGACTATGATGAGATCTAATAAAGTTTCCTCTCAAAATAGGCTTAACTTTTTAAGTATTAATCTAAGTCAATTGTCAGTTTTTGTATTTCTTTTTAAAAGCAATTGCAGTTATACATTAAAAAAATTACAAACATCTTGGCCTACAAATACATTTTGTAAGGAGAGTCTTTTCTCTAGTGAGTAAAAACGATCGTGGTAAAGGAATGAACTGGCTAAAACAGCACATTGTCAATGTTTACAAAAGTATTTTGACTGAAACCTGAAACCCTGGTATTTTTTAAAGACATTGCATAATAGCCTAAGTCGACGTCTGCGGAGAAAAGTATGGCAATAGATAGGTTTTACTTTTAGCCTACAATAAAGATTATGTTTTGGGACTAAAATCTCCAAAAGACCAAAAGAGTGCTTATAACAAACATTTCATAGTTTTAATTTAGTAACAAAAGTGTTTGACTATGTTCCCGATTATACCAAGAACAAGGTTCGGCATAGTGGATTCACTGTGAACCGGCCTGCCTGGCAGTGTTTCCACACGACACACGACCAAAACAATAATCCCGCTTACTGGGTCGAGAAATCCTGTTTTATCCCGCTTTAAAATTGTGAAAAATCCCGTTTTATCCCGCATGATTATTTTTGTACAATGCCTAGTATAATACTTGACTTATCATGTTTATAAAGTTGTTTTAACATCACTATTATATTTTACTACAGTATTTAATCAATTTGAGTTAGTTTTACTCTAAAATTAAATGGAAAAAATAAAAATAGTCGTCACAGCCGAAAATCCCGCATCCCGTTTTAATCCCGCTCAAGGTCTAAAAATCCCGTTTCCGGGATAATAATCCCGCGAATGGAAACACTGCTGCCTGGCCCTTATGCACGACGTCACTATAACCTCCGTGTAGGGGTGTCAACAATGGATCGGAACAATCGAAGTTTTGAACATGTCTGTAACCTAGTTTTTTATACTTAAATACTCATTATTTATAAACAAACACGTCCTACATATCGGATCTCGAATCACGATATTTATCGATACCCTTTCCACCCACAATAAAACATTAAACGATGTCAAAGCAATCGTCATTTGCTCCATTGAAACACGAAAGTCGATTGGCTGACATGGTAGTGCACTGACGCCTCCTGACCAATGAGAGCTGTTGTTACATACTTTTATTGTCAACATTCACCATTCGTTATAACATTACAAAATCGACACGGACTAAGGCTTATAATATTTTTCAATAAATACATTATGTTATAGTAGCACTTAAAACTTCACTAAACTCTTTAATCAGTAGATAGTACAGATCAAAATATAGATCTACTTTTTGGCGCAATATAAAGCAAGCCTAACCATACGACGATGTTAAAGTTTAATGGTTGAATATAATTTTTCTAATGATGCGTATAATGCAGGGATTATTAAACTGAAAATTTCGACGTGTTTAGGTTATTTATTTTGTACTAAAAATAAAGATAATACATCTAAATGTCTGACTTATTGATACAGACATTGTTTAGTATAATTAATTTCGTGTTGGCAGGACATTCGCGCGCCGGTTGTCTCTTGAGTTGAGTCAGACATCTTGAAATTTAGATTCGTAGATTGTGTTGTGCAATGCTGAAGCTAAACAATGTCACCGGCACCGTCGCTGTTTTGAACTAGATAGTTTCTAAGTTGGCTATGAAAATTGTTAACCGTGATTACAACACTAATACAGTAAATAAATGTTAAAATAAAATATTTATCCCTGTCGGATGTCGGTATCGACTTTTGACAATCGAGTTTTGGTACCGATACCAATGTCCAAGTATCGGTGGTATCGATGACGATAATCGACTCATCCCTTTTTACTAGTAGAGCTGTATCGTGACGTAATCGATGCATCGGGATTTTGATGCATGCTGGATCGAATCGGGATTCGATGCATCGCACTCGCACACCTACACCACTGCCTATCACCATCGCCCAGTCCAGTGTCAGCTCAGCTGTCGGCGCTGTCGCTGTCAGTGAAATGGATGACGCAAGCGATGTCTAGGTTGCCGATTATTAGTAGGCCTAGTATGTCAATATTTAAAGGGGTTAAGGGATTAAATAAAACTCAAACATGTTCCTTTCTTACTATTTATTTGTCAAATATCAATGAAAATAACGAAATCGTAACGTCTACTACTCGACTCGAGTCACGAGTATCTTTAACTACTCGACTCGACTGTCGAGTATTGCCAACTACTCGAGTAATTACTCGACAGTCGTGTACTCGCCCACCCCTAATTATATGTATAAAAACAGTGTTTGTCTAATGTTTCAACATCCGGAAAAACTCTGTGTGTTGAACATGATACACACATGATACAATGATATGTGTTGAACATATGATTGCGTTGTTTATGTTTGCTGAATATGTAAAAAACATGTAGCCTAAAGTAAGAGTTTTTATTGGTCTTATGTACAATTTTAATTTATTGATTATACATGGTTTTAATTTAATAACATTTTTGTATTATTATATGTATAAAAAACAGTGTTTGTCTAATGTTTAAACATCCGAAAAATAAACTCTGTGTGTCACTGATTGTGTTTAAAAATCAAAGACACCAACAAAGGGTTAAAAATAAAGCTTACTTCTTTATCGTACAAATTTGCTAAAAAAAATACTTTTTGTAATAGTTACTGGAATACGTCCACGGAATCGGGAACGTTGTTCAAGTCTTAGGCACTGAGTTTTCCTTGCCCATTATGACCACTTGCAGAAAGCCTGTATTGCAAGACTTGTGTTCAGTTAGTGCAGAGAAACACAGCCAAATTTTGCAGCGAGGAAACCCCACCTTAATAGTCAATGTTTAGTTAATTGTCTGCTTTTACAGAGCGCTGGGCCCAGTGGCCAGTACCAAGGTGCTGCTAGAGCCCATGGTACGTCTGTACGACTGTGATCACACCCTCAGTTCTCCGGCTCAGCTCAAGAAGCGACTCAAGCTGTATCATCGCAGCTTCCTGCTGAGGCTTATGGTCCGTTTCCGACTCAAGACGTTCCTCGATCATTTCATCACTCCCCTGGTAGAGGCCGTCGGAGGATATCACGATGTTGATCTGCTTCTTCCAGCTCACCACAATGAGTTAGTCAGGTCACTTTGTAACCAATTTAAGTTTACATAAATGTTCTACTTTGACTCTTTATCACAGTTATTATAAAAATGGCAACACAGCTTTTACTGTTGTGTTAATTTTTAAGTCTCACCTTTTCATCCTAGGACACTAGGTTCTAACCTAGAAACGTTTTAACATTACTAAGGTTGTGGCATTATCACTTGGAGAAATTCCATTTGGTGTTTGGCTGGATTTAACCCCAAGATCTTGGGGACTGAAGCCCCTTGCTCTACTATTACTTTATAACAGAGTAAGAAATGACAGTGATGTTAATAACGTAATAACCCTGAAAATGCTATTAACTAATATAGATTTTACGATTCTTGTCAGCTATTTCTATCATACATCCAAGGTTTGACATGTTTTGGCGGGATGCTATTGCCAGCACTTTAGTCGAGGAAATACATTAAATCTGCTTGAGTAGATTTTTAATGGTTTAAATATACAACACATACATTGAACACAATATATCAAAATGAACAGATGCAGAATCATGTTTTATATCCATGCATGGACTTTCAAATTCTGTAGGATGAAATTCCTGTGAATCTCAAACTGAAGATTAGTGAATAAAATAAAACTGCCAACATTATAAAATAAATTTCGTAATATTTTACCTAAACTGTGTTTTGAATTTAGAGAATAAGTCCTGTTATAGAATGGATAGTTGATATTGAATGTAAAAGGTTTTGAGTATAGTATGTGTTTGACAGAGTTAGTGAGGTGGAGGAGGCTACGGAGTGTGCCAGTGTGATGTCTCCATTAGACGAGGACTCTTCTGCAGATTCAGAGAAGACACCAGTGTTTGTGAAAGAGAGTGACTCACATCAACAAACAGACACCCACCCTCAGGAGCCTGGTCAGTACAGCGTGACTAACATAAATCATCTACAGCTGTTGACAAGTTATCAGAAGCACCGATGTTTTATGATTTTTACAAAATGTATAAATATAGATCGTCATCAGTTGTGCTCCATTCCTAAGAATAGTTATCAAAACTCATTCAATATTCTCATTGTAATCCATCAAAATAAAAAGTATTGCTGCTTCCTTGTATGTTTATTTGTGAGCTTGTAGCAAGCTTACAATCTGTTAAATACTTAAATTTGGTTACATTCAAATAGTAGTTTAATATATCCAATCTTACTTAGCCTATCCAAATATATCACCTAAAAATAACCTAGTTTGTATTTGGCTTCACCAACAACAACCTCAATCTCAACCTATTTATGACCTTCAATATCGTAATGGGTATTTGGTTTCCTTATGTAATATTTTCTAACTAGATGTGACTTATTTTGTATATTTTGTAGATATTTCCAGGCTATTTTATTACTTTTTAACTTCAATAACATATTTTGTCCAGTGATTGATACGATTGTGATATGTTGACAGAAGTGTTTGTGCTGGAGACTGAGGAGCCAGACCAGCAACAGCAGATTGCCTCATTGTTGCTGGAACTGCAGACAGACGATGCAGACGACGGGGACGGAGCAGCTCCAGACCAGTCAGAGCCCAGTGACGGGGAGTCTGTGACCTCCACGGAGCAGCAACAGCAATCCTCCTCCGCCACAGAGTACAACAAGGTTGGTACTCAAGTGTTGTCTGACTAACCAGCAAGAATTTGTTATGTTGTATGTAGGAATACTTGGGACCTAAATTTCAGTTCAGGACAAGACAGCATTCTTTGAACCAAAAATTGTTGGAAGAAAAAAAAAATTGTTAAAAAGTGCATTTATTTTGTGATGAAAGTTAGGTAGTAAAACACCAGTAAACAATAATAACTGATATATTAACAGGACACTATTAGAAACCAAAGCTCTGAGCAAAATATTTCAGATGGTAATGGTATTATCCTAAAAAAAAAACAAAACAAACATAGTATTTTGTTGGCAAAACTATGATGGCTGTTGTCTGCTAGTGCTGTTGTTGCACAGTTATAACCCTATAGTAGACAACCAGACAACGAGACAACAGATAAGACTTGACATTCAAATCCAATACAGCTGAATGTTATAGTTCTATATGCTGTTGTTTAGCAATTTTATAGTAGGGTCAGATACAATCAGACATGTCAGTCAGTAGCCATCTGCAGAATCAGGAACGATCGACAAGTCAGGAGTGATGAGCAGTCGTTGAGAGCGGTCAACAGATTCTGGCATCGGCAGATGTACGGAGTGATTAACAAACCTCCGGAGTGATTGGAAAAGTCAGGCGCAATCATGCAGACTTGAAAAAATCCTGAATTGTTAGGTTTTGATCAACTCTTTCCTATATATGTCATGTGTTGGCTGCAGGAACTTGCTTTATGTCTTATGTACCCCAAGTGTTGTCTGTTGGAGGTGTCCGAGGTGGGGGTGGCCAGTATACAGTGGCTGAGTCATCGTCTAGGCCCCGTGCTGACAGCCACACTCCTCAGCAGGAACCTGCTGCGCATGCTGAGTCTATGCTACACTCAGCACGGCTGTACTCAGCAACACGGCGCCAGACTGCTGGGAGACGAGAATGCTGCTAATGTACTCCAGTGCCTTAGTGATATTGTGGGCGAGTATTTAATCTCTTGCAAATCAATCTAAACATTGTGTGGGTGTTAACTTTCTTATCAAGTAGTTGAAGTATATTTTTCTGTGTTTAAAAGTCTTATATCACTACAAGGTTCGGAGTTGTTGCATAGGTCATTTCCCCAGGCACCTTAGTCTACTGGCAAATAGTGACGGTCAAGTAGTTTAAAATAGGTGGAAAAATATTGTCTTTGGTACCAAAAAACTATATGAAGACTTCTGGGGACTGCTTGAAAGCTTATGTAATGATTAACATGCATTTCAGGGCTCTATGGAGAGCAGTTTGTGGTGGTTCAGTACTTGCCAGCCACAGCTGACGTCATCTCAATGTCCAAGAAACTGACAGCCAGTCTAGAGGCGGCTGTGGTTGCTCATCTGACACTTCTCACTCATTGCTTGCCTCTACTCTCCGACAATACTCTACATCAGCTGTTCCAGGTAGACATGTCTCTAATATATCTATTATCTTTATAAGATTTTTGATATTAAATACCCCCCCCACACTCAACATTTCAACTTTCATTTTTGGTATTGGTATTGCCGACTGTTTTAGGTTGTTCTGTTATTTTACTGTTTGAAGTTTTTTCTAAATAATCATTAGTTTGGCCAAACAATAAGATTTGTTTTTTTGCAAGATTAAGTGAGCTGTCCCAGGGTGCTCATTAGCCAAATACAATTTTGAAACGATTCTTGATTTGAAAGGAAAGAAATTGCGACTTGACAATACAGTAGACTCCCTCTTATCCGGACTACTCGGGACCAAAGCTAGTCTGATTATAGGGGTTTTTGGTTAAACCCACTTCCCCAAAACTCATTAAATAAGGAATATCTAATGTATAGCCTTCTACAAGCAAATAATGATTATTATTAAAATTGCAAAACTAAACACTTTGGGATGGTTATTGTAACATTTCCAATCTTTTCCACAAGAAAAGTGGTTTCAGTAGCCTACCGCCCTTTTCCTGTCAATCAAGTCCAGTTAAACCAACGTGCTGGATTAAAAATTGTCCAGTTAAAGAGTTGTTACTTGTGCTGAGTTTAGTTCAGTTAAACCGACGTCCAGTTAAAAGGGTCCGGGTTATAGGGACTCTACTCCTACTGTAGTAAACTTGTCTCCTTGCTGCTACAGCTACAACAACTTAGTTGCTATTTGCATGATGCATTTGCCTCCAAATCGTCAGAATAATTAAATTAGGTTTATGTCACCTGTGTTATTTCTGTCGGATACAATGGACATACAATGACTAATCGTTCCAAGTTTTCAATAGTTACTTATGAAAAATCTCTACCATAAACTCAGCCAAATAACACTTTTCTTTAAACTTTTAACTTTTAAATGAGTTTGGAAACACTTCTTCACGTCCATTTACTTACTTTATTGTTATTAGGGATGTGTCGGTTCTCAATACCACCGATACTTGGATGTTATGTTGGTATCGGTATTGAGACATGGAGATGTTCATGATTTTGTCGCTATCGTGGAAGATGACAAAAACGTTCCGTGACCACGAGAAACGATGATTGTATTTATGTTACCGCTGAGCTATATTCAGAATTTGTTTGCGACCGTGCAAGACCATGATGACGTTACCGTGACTGAGAAAGATATTCAGGATCTTGCAGGGATCCCAGAAGACACGATGATGTCTCCAACACCGGGGGAGATGATCACGATATTACTTCGAGTTTGGCTTGACTGAAAATATCAAGCTTTCACATCTCTAGTTATAGTCATAACATTTACTTTTAGATTTTCGTAGTTTAGTTAGATATTAATTTGGAACCTTTAATGTGGTGGTTATTTAATGAGTTTAGAATGGTTTGAACTTAATAATTGGCTAGTTTAGAACTTTGTCATTGCTGCATAATATCTTTCTTTACTTAAAAATACCCCGTCTCTTGAATCGATACATTTTGGTATCGACACGTCTCTAATTTTTTACATATTCTGTTTTAGGAAGTGATCCTGCTGCGTGTGTGTAGCCCAGCGCTGCGTCTAGGCGCCACTCTGCGCCAGATGTTCCCAGGCGGTGTGGCGGCGCGCCGAGCACTCATGCTGAAGCTGGTGCAGTGTCTGCATGTGTTGATGCTGAGAGCTACTACTGAGCAGAAGATTGCGCTGGTCCACACAATGGCCAAGTTCTTCTCTGTCTTCAGCAAGGCTCGCGGACACACTGATGACACTAGGTTAGCTACTTGGCTTTTCTCATTGTCGAGGAGGAATCAGAGAATAGTGAATTGTAGGTCAGAGTGAGGCGAACCAGTAGACCGAACTAATAGTCTTTATCCATTGAGACTGTTATGAGCGCTTGGAGCTGCTCAGGCAGATGGTGGCCTGCTCAGTGAGTCATACTTCTGGCTCTATCTGTGCAATAAAATTAATTGAATAAATATACAAATCTGATGTGATGAATGTATTTTAATCTACTCTTCATTTTGGTACCAATTTAAAGACAAATCGGTGAATTTTTACCTTTTACTATGTAATAATATCATACTAATACCTAATTTCATAACTCAATAAAAATTCATAGATTCACCTGAAATTTTGTATCAAAATGAACAGGAGATTAAAATACATTCATATTTGTTAATTTTCTTCAATTAAAGTGGATTGCACAGTGATAGTAATGCCAGAAATATGACTCACTGACCAGGCCACCATCTGCATGAGCAGCTCCAAGCACTACAGACTCAAGGGAAAAGACAATAGTGCTGTTGACTGGTTTGCCTTTCTCTGACCTACATTTTACTAGAAAAGAAAAGTGTGTATTGCAAAATATCATTTGGTTTTTGGTAGGGATCTTTGAGACTAATATTTGAGTTTGGGACAAGTAACAACCATCCCCCCCCCCCAAATATTTATAAAATTTTGGAAAACTCAATTTTTAAAATAGTTTATTGATTATGTTTTAATTTGGTCCCAAAATAATTATGGACAATGGTCTGCTAAGGACATTGCTGCACAATTAATTTTAATAGTTACTCAGCCGTAGAATATTGATTATAATTCACAACCTTCACATTTATGAAATGTGTAGGCTAGGTGGCTAGTGATGTTCTTTATGTGTTGTCTAATATTTTTCATCATTAATGAAAATCCCGTCCCAAAAAATATTGGCTGTAAAAATCCTGCAAGTAATTCCAAAAATGAGTGCATAAACGCTGAAGATTTGATCTGTAAACAATGCTTTTTTATTCTCATTTTTTGCAAAACTGAACATAAAAACGTGAATTGATAGTTTGTACTAAACCAATATACAGTTAATAATATTTTATAAAAATATCTAGGTACCATCTACCATTTTAAAATTAAAAGAAACCAATGAAGGACTCAAAGCAAATTACAATAAAATACAATGTAAAAACCTCTGGCGTACAATTTGTTCACCTAGACAAACAGAACCATGTGTATGTGTTATTTGACAACCGACCCATCACATTCATGTAGATCATGTCTAGAACATAATTTTGAACAAATACATAAACTTTTTTGATCCAACAGCACCTGGATGCCATAGAGTCTACCCATTTAAGCTGAACATTTTCCTTAAACACCTGTGTTCAGTTTTTACTTAATTCTTGCATAAAACTATGATTTACCATTACTATATTACATTTTTTAATCCCTCTATTATTGCGATTACAGACTTGAGGATCCAATGAAAATTAAAGATGCAGACCCTGTTGGTTCATTTTCACCACCAAAGTCTGGTACAGCTGATGGTGACACTAACAGATCCAAGGTATGCAACTGACTCCTGGACTGAATTTCATGCACCTACTGTAAATATGCATGGATGTTTTGTATCACGATTTGCAAAAAAATGTATGAAGAAAAATATAAGCACCTTTCATAATAGACTTAGATGGTAGCAAGATAAAGGATAAGTAAATAATGTTTTATGATAAAAATAAATAAAACCACTGTTGTCACTGAATTGGCCAGCCATTGGTTGGTGCACATATAATCAATTGAAAAAGAAACATTTTAAGCTATTGAACAAATGGTTACATAACCCGTTGATTTTATCTTGTGGTCTGTTTACAAAAATATTTTGGATTGTATTAAATAAGTGGCCTATCTATTGAGTAATAACTCCATTTCATTATTTCAAGTTTCATGATTTTCACAAAATGTATGCCTACTGTAATACATCTTACTCAATCAATAGTCAATATCTTGTTTATTATTACCCTAAGTAAAATAAGAGACCATTTTTTTGTGTTTTTTTCGGCCACGCCTGTGGCATTTTTACAGAGGAATTAATGGAGGAAGGAAAAAGTACTTAAACGCTTTAGGGAAAGAAGGCAGAAAGAATTTAATAAGAACACTGTGGAATGGTGTATGGCCTACTAGAACCTATTTTTCTGGAAGATATTTTTTTATTTAACATAAGATAAATAAAAGGAGAAATAATAATGCTTTACAGTGTTTTATTGATTAGTGTTGTGCTGCGACACATTTGACAATGGCAGGAGGAAATTAAATGAATGGTTAATGATAAAGCTCTCTTAGTAGGTTTTAGCACCTTGTGTTCTAGAAAAAATCAAATAACTGAACATATCTTAATTTTATTTGTTAGCAGGCTCTAGAAGAGCTGGCTGCGGTTATGTCACCAGAGCTGGCTAACTGGGCTTACGGACCCTTCGCCAGCTTCTTTGGAGAGTCATTGATGGAGCAATCACTCAAAAATCACTCGTTTATCAGACAGTTGTGTGAAGAGCACCGTCTCAGCCATAGTCATATCTCTGGTAATATCCGTCTTCTGAACACTTTTTTTTTGTTTCTCAAAGGGTAATGTTTTATAACTAGTGTCCCTGTTGCTCGAATTCAAGCAATTGCTAAGTATTACAGGTGTCATTTTAAATCAAATTTCAACCAAGTCAGCAAATGTTTGTAGCAAACTGTTAAATTAGCAAACTTATTGACTGTTTACAATTAACATAATATGCTCTTCTTCTCACTTTTGATTTCTGACAACAGCTGGAGTTTCATAACCATTTTTGTTTCCAATGTTAATCTTATGGAGAAATACAAAACTTTAAAGGGCTCCAGGGCCTCACTCTCTAATTATATCCCTAAAAAGAAAGTTTCCTGCACAACTTCATGTTACGCTCTATCCAATGACACCAAAAACATGACAATCGGTTCAGTAGTTTCGGAGGAGTAATTGTCACAAAAAAACTGCTTGCGTATTAAATAAGTATAGATACAATCTCAGGGAAGAAATAAAAAATTCCTCAGTGACTTGCAATCTCTAAACCCTCAAACCTGCTGCCATTCACATTGTAAAAATCTATTAAGCTTCAAAGGATGCTCTTTGTGCAACTCCTTCTCCTAAGCCATGGAGATTGAGGATGTTCTCTAAACTTTAACCGTTCTGACATTACTCACACCAAGGGCAGCTTAAAAGGGGTTCCATGATTAAACCTTGAAGCCCCAAACCTCAAAATATTGAAATTTCAAGTATCATAACAAAACCTTCTCTTGTGTATGCTTGTGTAATTTGATCACATTTGAAAATTGTTTTTACATTCCTTCAACTACCTCATTTACCCTCTTTTCCACATGGTGCAATGGAAAAAAATGGTTTGGTGGCTGGACTGGGTTTCCAGCACAAAATCAGAACAACTGTTTCAAAAGCTTTAAAGGAACAAATTTATAAATTAAAACCAAGCTATGCTGTTACATAACCCAATAGGCAATAATATAGCAGTCTTTGTTCTCAAATTTTTAGAATTTTTAGTAAATATGAGGAAAGGAAAACTTAAACTTGTTGATATTCTGAAGTCAAATGTTTTCCCTCGCTAGATCCCCAGCTGATTGATCGAGTTGGAGAGGATTATGTGGAAGACTCTGTTGGAAGTTTTGGAACTAACGTCGTCGTCATCGGCAACAGGATTGACTTACATGTTAGTATCTATCAACGTTTCTGGTCAATTTGGAAAAATCAATTATTTTAAGAGCTCAGGATGGCTAAAAATTGAGAGCTTAAATAAAAATTTGAGTTGAGAACTTAAGAAGTCAGTTTCAACTTTTATGTTTGTTATTTGAAAGATATTTCCTGGTTATAGTTTTCTAATATAGCCACTGTGAGGCTTGTTTTGTATCAGTTTATGTAATAAAACGAGTATTTCAACTTTGAAGCATTTTATTTTTTAATCGCTCATAACTTGGGTGGTATTAAGCTTTTCAAGCAAACATATTTTTTGTGATATAGAGTCATTTTTTTATAAGGTTACAACGATTGAACATCAGTTTAAGGTGCAATATATCTAATGCATTAAACAACCAACCTTTTCTATTCCCTCATAATAGTTGACATTTCCAGGAGCCTGTACCCAGTCCTAACCCAGGACCTGAAGACACAGCTGATAATTTGCACAGGACTGATAACAACACCAGGTAAGTGCTCTATTGTTGAATCATTAAAACTGATACTGCAAGAATAGTCATTTAGAATTTAGATAATGGTAGGAATTTAATTGGAATTTTTTTTATATTGATTGATTGATATTTTTTGATTGATTGAATTGTTTTTACCTTATTGTCAAAACCAACTAAAAGTTGAGAAATAATAAAAAGAATTGTTTGATAACATTAATATGTACATGTTTAAATTAATTCCTGAAGATTGGTTGCTTATAAAAAAATATTGTCAATCTACATCCAACACCTTAACACATTAATAATCTTGATTGGGAGGTTATTTGATGAAGGCCCGTGGTTTGCATGTGATGCACTAAGGGCCCGAGAGATGAATGCACCCCTCTCCACCTACCTTGTGGGGGAATTTTTCTCCTCCTTGTGCCCCCAACAAACCTAAACCTTTTGCGCCCCTAGGCCCACCCATTTATCAAAGCCGATCTGATTTGATGTTGTTTTTTTTTTTTTTTTTTTTTTTTTGTAGGCTAGAATAAAAATCTATTTCTGAAATATTAACGGAACAGATTTCATCATCTTTAGGATTTTTTGAGAGCATAGAAGGCCAAGGCCTAAATGGGAAACAGTCCAAACTGGCACAAAACACAAAACTTTACACAATATCCTCACAAAATTAAAATATTTCACTGTCACTGACAGCATTTTCAACTAAGGAAGAGAGCGTTTTCTTAGAGAAGAGAGTGTGTTCCTGTTCAATATGGTCAAGATGTTAAGATGTCAAAAATGCTGTCAGTGACATAAAAAAATATTTTAATTTTGTGTGTATATAATGTAACGTTTTGTGTTTTTGTGCCAGTTTGGACACTATCCCATTCAGGTAAGCCTGCTATGCTCTAAAAATCCTAAAAACCTAGGCCCTTGTGCTCCATGTTACATCCTTAAATTGTACCATCTGATTATTTTCCATATTTGAAAGATTTAGATCCTTTGCTATTATATTAATCATTAATTATATTATCACGTTTGACTTTTGTGTATACAATTCTGCAACCCAAAACATCCCACTTCTTGATTCTCTCTTCTTCATCCATTAACATTGTTGTAGGTAAGTTGAAAGTTACTAATTTGTAGCTGTTACATTGTAGGCATTTGAGGGGTAACTGGCTGAGCTATTGGCAGAATGAGGTTGGCAACACTTCGTCCTTGCTGGATATCAAGCAGATCAAATTACTAAGCTTCAGTGGCCATTGTAACAGTGTCCGAGCGCTGACTGTGCTGGACAACGAGAACAGCTTCTTGTCTGCCTCACGCGACAAGACTGTCAAAGTCTGGTCCATCCGCAGCATGGTGAGGCACTCACAGTGAAAATATATTTCGTAAGCTTATATATTGTAGTTAGTGTATGAGGATAGAGCAATTTAATTTGTAGAAAAAAATTTCTTGAAAAGTTCTTAGAAATTTTTTTGAAAAAGTGGCTGTTTGAAAAGATTTTTTAGCTCAAAAGTCTATAACCTCAAACTTTCAGAATGACTCTTTTACTGGATTAGTGAATTTTGAGGAAAAACTTTACAAACAGATTGCTCTTATTGAGTTTAGAATATATAGTTCATTCATTTAAATGTTGGTTTTGATACACAAAGTTTGAAAAAAAAAACATTTCTAGATACTTTTGGTACTTGGGATTAAGTTTTGCTCGTAGTAGTATACTCTTTATTTTTGAACAGTGGTATTTATCATAATGCTCACTGCTCAGTAATGTAGTCTCAGTGTAGTTTTTGCTCAAAGCCGTCTTCTCAACTGTATTTTTATTTTTAGTATGCTTACTTGGGTTTAAAGCATGCCTCACGATTATTTTGTTTACATCATTGCTATTCTGTAACTAAATAGACACTCCTAAGTCTAAAAGTAAAATCTTTCAATTTCCTAAAGAGTTTTTTGACAAAGTACCAACTTTTAGTACACAGTGGCTTCTACCAATAGATTTTCTAGCCCCAGGAAAAAAGCTCCTATTCTCAAACAAACTTTCAGATAAATCCCACTGCTGGATTTCAAGATGAATTTTGCAACCAATCAAACACATCGACATAGCTTGTGTTAGAATACACGATTTTACATAAAGCTTTATAACCATCTTGTCGTACACTTTTGCAGGGAGATGGAAGCACCGTAGTGCCAGCCCAGTGGACGTACACTGGACATCGCAAGTCCGTGTTGTCTGTCTGTTTCTGTGAAGCGGCCAGGTTGGCTGTGTCATGTGACTCTACTGTACATGTTTGGGATCCGTATGTAGGGAGAGTTCTGGCTCACACAGACCCATCTAGGTCCCCTCCTGTCAACACTCTGCGCTCTCTACCTGCACCTAGTCATCAGGTGTGGCTATTTTTAATATATAAAAATGTTAACTAAAGAAATAAGACTTCCATGTTAATTACTCATTACACATAATTGATACACCTCAGTTTTACCTGAATTTGTTGCAGTACAAATTTATTGCTTAGCCTACAAAAACCCAATTATAGTTTTATGAAAACCATGTTTTATAACTACCGTAATTCTCCAATCAAAATAAACTATTGTGTCACAGCTACTGTATACCACAAATAATACATTTCAAAACCAAATCTAGTCAGCGTGTACTATGTATGTGGACATTTAAAGTGTTATTTTTATATGTTCATCATACCAATTCACCTATTTTGTCGTGCAGGTCTTGGCAGCAACTACAGATCCTACTTTGAGAACGTTGGACACTAGAGTTGGTGGTTACGTCAATGAGCTCAAGGTAGGTGACTTTGTGTACGTTCTTTCAGTCTAGATTTTCAACTAAGCCGAGCTTGTGGCAGTACCATCATCTGCCGTGGTAGTAAGGCATCTTCTTTATCTTTGGCGATAGCTGCCAAATCTTGAATATCTGCATCGGTCATTGAAACATTCATCATCATCTAAAGCGATTGCAGCAAATCTCTGAATAACTCTTGCGGTACCGTGATCATCATTGTCTTCCACGATTGTGGCCAAATTCTGATTATCTCCCCCAACCTTGTGGACATCATTGTCTTCTGCAATCACAAATCATAACAAACCCTGAATATCATTCATGACTTTCATGATCAAGGCCAAATCCAACTCCCTTAGTCATGTAGACATTATCATTGTCACAGTAAAATATTTAACACTTCCAATGGTCACAGGAACATCGTCATCGTCTTCTGGGACCACAGCCATATCCTTAATATCTCCCACGGTCACGTGCACATCATTTTCTCCTGCGATCACGGAAACATCTTGTCACTTACAATCTAGGCAATAGCCTTTTGCACTTTTGTAATTGCATCTTTGCTGACATGTCGGTTATTGGTATTGGTATTGACTCTTGATGATCGGTTTTTGATACAGATACGAATGTACAAGAATTAGTGCTAGGGAGAATTGTCACATCCCCAATAATGTTAATTAACTGCATCTTTTTACTTGTTTACCTATGGATTTTTTTTAAACTTCAGCCTGCCTTGTGTATAGTTCTCTCATCTGCTCCCGCAGGTAGTATCCACCTCTGCAGGGCTGGTAAGATGCATCGCAGTGTCTCCTAGTGCATCCTGGGTAGCCCTGGGTCAGGCATCGGGTCTGCTCACTGTCATAGACTTGAGGACAGGAATGATACTGGCGGCCTGGCGAGGTCACGACGGAGAGGTCAGTCAATAATGTAGTCCTCAGTTGTTTAAAAGACTGTAAGTAAAAGTGGATAAACCAAAGTATGTTGTTTAGGCATTTTACTCAATTGTAACATTGACTGTTGAGAGAAACAGACATCTTAACCCCATGTGGATGTAGGATTTCATTTATTCAGAAATTGTTGTTTTGAAAATATGACATTAATTCTTATGGATTTAAACTCTCCTGATTGTCTCCTTTTACATAGTGGTTTTATTTCTAAACACAACCCAAATTACAAGTACAGAAACACAGAAAGTAACTGTTGTAGTGTGTAGAGACAAAAGAAGCTGAGGTTGGTAGCCCTGCTTCCTCTACCTACCCTCATTACCTCATCTACTTTATTACCGATCAGCTGATATCCATGGATGCATTGTCTACACAGCTAAGTGTTGGAAATTTATCGTGAATAAGATTCAACATGTTTTTCTCTAAATGTAACCTATGTTTAAGATTGATATGTACTACATGCATAGAAAAATCAATCGCACAACTGATATTTATAGTTTGTACAACCTATAGTTGGAGAGCAAGCTGGACTAGTGGTAGAGCTCGGAGCTTCGGAGCTCAAGGTCCCGGGCTAAAATCCCGCCAATCACCAATGGATTTTATCAATGTGATAATGCCGCGACCCACTAGGACTAGTCTGAAGTAATGTTTAAAACGGTTTCGGGCTAGTACTAGCATCCTAAGATGTAAAGATGGGACATAAAAAAATACATAAAAAAACCTATAACTTAGTTGATTTATTTTTAAGAAAGCCTACTGAAATTTCACTTGAAAACTCAATTGCTTACTCTTCCCGGCATAAGACAAATCATTTACTTTTACCTTCAATGTATTTTTCTATAGACATACTCATTGAGCTTACAAAAACACCATGTTGAGTCTAATTACCAAAATATTGAGAAAAACACTAAACCGTATAAACTACAAGCTAAAAATGCTTATCTGCTGATCGGCAAAGAAGTGAAGCTATCAGTGCTGCCAACTTATGAGCTTGTTTTGTCTCTAAACATTTAAATCTCTGTACTTGTAATTTAGCTTGCGTTAAACAAACACCCGATATTCATCCTATAAAGAAACCTTTATTAACACACATTTAGTAACCCTTTAGAACACTAACACTATATTATCATGCAGGTGCTGCAGCTGGTGGCAGCTAGTGACACTACATTAGTCAGCTCTTCTCTGGACCAGGCTGTCTCTGTGTGGAACCCTAGCGAAGGGAAACTCAAGTTCAACATCAAGTAAGTTTAAATAGATCTATTCAAAAACTAGAATAGGTTTGAAAAAGGAATTTGATTTTTAACATGTATGTAAAAATTGTATGAAAAAGATGTTGGTAAGTTAAGTTTATATTGCGTATGACTGTACAGGTATTATTGTGTATTTGAATAAAAACTTAAGCAAGACCATGTCTTCACTAATAGAATTCTGTATAAAAAATAAATGTTACTGAAATTTGCCCTTAATAATTAGCGCATTTTTAAAAGTTAGGTAACAAAAACCAAAATTCCATTACAATTAATAGACTGCAAAATTTAAAACCATTTCCCAACCATCAATACTGTAGTATCTTTCCCGACCAATACTGTAATAATAGGCTACTAATTTTGTATTAATTGAGCTGTGAAAATAAATATTAAAAACGTTTAAAACAAATTTCTTTTCAAGGGATTCAATACAAAGTGTTTGAAAATATCGAAAAATAAAATAAAATTTGTCGTGTAAATCACAATTATTTTTTAAATCAAAATTTGTCTACTTTTCAGAATACGGAATTTAATCTGGCATAAGTTGAAAAAGTAGGTACCTAATATGTAACAAAAGTATGTGAACCGAGCTAAAGCAAAGCTGGAAAATTACTAAAGAAAACCCAATAGAATACTAATAGCTAAAATTAAGAGATCTAGAAAGAAAATAATAATCAGTAAAATTAAAGATTGGGCAAACACAATGAATGTTTCCACAAGAAGATAAAAAAGTAAGCAAACTATTTTTTTCCGAAAGTATTTTTTTTCACCAAAAGTTGTGACACAGGGGCCCTACAGAGCCAGTACACTGTGTGGATCTGTACGGAGGCCAGCTGGTGTCTGGTACAACGGCTAACAGAGTCGGGGTCCACAGCTCCTTGGATCCTGCCGCTACCTTCTCCTCCTCTCGGCTACGATCAGACAGCTTCCGAGGAGTCCTCACCACCCTCCAGGTATAACTCGGTAGTCTCACTGAGCCAATGAAAATGTTGGGATTGAATCTGCTAGTGTTCTCACGACGATCTAGCATTCCTACTTTGGAAAAAGTATTAATTTCACTTGTATAATATGATCTGCTAATAGCAACTCTGTTGAGTGACTTTAGTTGGCCTAGCCCAACCAGTAAGCGACAGAAGGGGTAGTTCTGGGTTAGGAATTTATTCTGTGCTCTCAGTCATACTTCTCTACAAAAAGTCTTGTGTAATTTTATGCAGTGAATGTATAGAACCATGTTCAACCTTGTAGTGAATGAGTTAACATTGACTATGAAATTAAAATGACTAAGTCAGTTATATGGGCCAATATGAACAAGAAATGAACATTGAAAACCACTTAGTTACTTCTTCATCTATCTATATTGCAGCTTTAGTTATTAACATTTTTATTTTTAAAGTAAATGTGAGGAAATAAAAGACTGAAGGTAAAATGTTAAAATTGATGTCTTTGAGGCAAACTCATATTTCATGTGAAACACACCTCAAAGGTAAACGTGACACATAAACTTGTATGAAAACATTACAACTCATGTGACTCACATAAAAACATTTCTGCCCGGAAGGCGAGCTTAACAATCCACACAGTCAGGTATTAACGAGTTGTTTACTCCAAATAATTTCTAATGTACTTTTATCCTAATTCAGTTTTTGCTCACACTAATAACAATATGGAGGTTTAGGTGTGTTGCTAGTGAGGTGGCTCGATTTTTGGCACTTGGTACGAGAGGGTTGGGTTTGATCCTAGGCAATCCACAACAATTTAAATATTTTTGCCAAATTTGTAATAAAGATTCACCCACCTTGGCGGTACAGACTTGAGGGTTAATTTGTTATGTTTGTTACAGGTACTTCCACTAAACAGACTCCTCTTGCTAGGAGCGGACACTGGCAACATCACACTCATCTGTTAGAACTAGTCTTTCATTACCCCCAAAGGTTGTCTGTACATATTGTCGCTACATACTCATAGTTGTGGCAGACATTATCCATCACTTGTCAGTAAAATACCGTCTTCCTTTAGAGTAGCTGTGGCCCTAGGCCAAGACACCAATTGGGCCCTGCCCTACATGTGAAACTTGCCGCGATCTTGGCAAAATCGTAATCATCTCCTGTGAAAAATTATGAGCGTCTACCACGATCACGGGGACATCATCATCATCATCATCATCATCACCCGCGACCGTTAAGAAATTGTGAACACCTCCCACAATCATAGGGATATCATCACCGTCATCTATGATCACGGTGAAAACATGAACATCTTGACGGATAAGGGGGACATCATCATCACCTGCGACCGAGGAGAAATTATGAACATCACGATTGTCACTTGAAAAATTGGTGGGATCTTGAAAATCAATGAAATTGTGGCCGGGGGGGGGGAAATCATATTGTTACCCCCCCCCCCCCCCCCGCCATTGTGGTAAATTAATGTAATGAATTAAATAAATAGTTATTTGTGCACTATTGAGCAAAGGGAGCAATAGACTCACTCGAGAGAAATACTTACTCACAAGCCGTAGGCGAGTGGGGAATGGTTTCTCGGGTGAGGCAATTGCACTTTGCACTCGAGTTGCACATTATATTTTTCCTACAGTTACCATAAAACAAATAAATTGATAAAGAAACGTGACATATTTTTACACTGAAATGAACTTTTAATATGACATTTAATGATACAAAAGTACAACAGCTGACCAGCCGATTTACAGCCAGAGCTGCCAACGTATTTCGCGCGCATACGACCTTGCCTGCATGCTACGCGGTCATTATTTCGTGCCTTCACGTTGCAAATCTGGAGTGAGTGAGACAAAGTAATTAGAGTGAGACAATGTTAACATTGTCTCACTGATGAGCAAATTGGCCACTTTGCTTTCTCAAATCAGTGAGAGAACATGTACATTGTTAGGTACCTGTAGGAAACATTTTATTTTTGTTTAAAAAAATTTTTCACACACAACGTTGCAGTCCTTATGTTTTGAAATGTCCTCTAAATTGACCACCTTAAAAGAAAGCCTCGTGGAAAACCAAATCATTTCTCAGATTGTAGGGGTTACCAACATTGTTGTTGAAGTTTAAATTAATGCTTTGGTGAATTATTTCAAATCAGAAAATAATTTGCTTTTTTACTAGTTAGACATGTGATTTTATAAACTCTTCTAGTCCATTTCATGATTCACTAATCACTAGGAATTATTCAATGTATTATACTAGCTTTAGGTTATAATATGTGATATATATTTAAGAGCGTTTTGTTCCTTATGTTCAATATAACTGAATTTAAATATTTTTATACCAATAAATTAATTGTCATTTTGTAGTTAATTCTTGTGTTTTCCCTCTCTCCTGTAGTCATCAATCCAAACAAAAAAGTTCTGTAAACACAGGTCGAAAAAAATTTTGTTTAGCCGTTACCTGCCATTATGTATTTTTTATAAAACATATTTATATCTCAAGGATTATTCACACTATGGAAACCAAACTTTGCACATACATTTATTGTGCCAAGAGGCAATTAAAAAAAAATTAGCTTAAGTGTTACTTAAGGTAATTTTTTTTTTAATTAAATAACTTTTTGTTCAGCATTGTTCATGTTATTACATTTACGGAAAGTAAATAAAAGATACATCTAATAACCCTCAAAACATATATTTTACGCTTATAAAGTTAACTCACAAGACGGTAAATATACATAAAAGATGGTAAGTGTGGACAACTCCAATCATCATCAGACCCAATAGGCGAATGACGAGTCGAATGTGGGGTCGTTCGATAGGCAATTTTATTAGTTAAAAAGGCTGCCATGTTGAAATTTCTAATTGTACCAACCTAGTTTTTCCCCTTACATAATATGTCTCCTCACTCTCACTTGTAATATAAATACCAAGTGTCTTAAAGATAGGTTAAAAAACTCTTAAGATTAGAATATGTTTTTGAATAAATAACTAAAATGGTGGATTATGCATTTTCCAATAGTATATTTCGTACCTAGGGCCAAAAATTAGGTTTTGCCGGCTCGAGATAGTTTTTAAGTTTGAGACGAAGTCGAGAACTTAAATCGATCGAGAGCTGCAAACCATTTCGGTCCGTGGTACGAACGCTATTTTTCACCATACTATACCCTATTACCACTATTCACCACTATAATAATGCACACTGATAGTTAACACAACTTCAACTTTAAGGTTGTGTGAAGAAATAATTTGAGGAATCAGCCAAAATAAAAATAAATAGTTGCTAGGCAACGGTGACAATAACACAATTCCATTGCAATGCTATGGATTTTGTCTGTGTATTTAAAATGCATTCATGTTTTAAGTAAGTAAGTGGACAGCTGATTTTGCGGCCCCGGGCTGTAAAAACCTGCTCGGTCCCCAAATTACAATGACAGCTGGCATGGCAGCAAAACGTAACTTTCAGCCACAAATTAACGTATGTAATACATCCAAAAACATCATAGTGTGGTGAAAAATACCTTTACCTTAACATACACTTTTTTTCTTTTACTATTTGGATCCATATCCCAAATGTTCTGAAACGTTTCGTGGACACCCTAAAAATCCGCTGACTTTGGCTCCAATTTTATTTCTATAAAACGCCAAATCTAATGCATTTTTATATTCACATGTTTTATCACAAAGATTCGGAAAAGTGTTGATGTACTATCCCAGTATTTAAAAATGAAAGTACCGGTACTTGATTTTTCTGTATTAATCTCAATTTGTATGAACTGAAATCTCTTAATTTGCTTAACAAATCTTTCGTCAGTAAGCCCTATACATTTTACTACCAAAGCTATGCTAAATGGCTATTACATTTTCTCCCCCCTACTTTTTATGTACAGAATTGGATTTATCATAATGTTTTCAATCAAATTCTGCCAGGTGTGCTGACACAATGTTGAATCGTATTGATATGAAGTTTTATTCTGATTCATTAAGCTTAATTTAGATAGTTTACTCGGGTTTAAAACAAGCTTTGATCAGCAATACACCTAGTCAATTATGGTCAACCAACAATATAATATAGATACAGCTCCTACCCAAGAAATTTAATTTTAAGTGAATCCATGGATGTCATCCATGGAATTGATGTCATCCATGGATTGAATTTCATTGAAGTAAGTTAAGTAAAAGGCATAAATAATAAGAATATATCCCCATAAAATCACAATAAGATCCTATTGCCTATAAACCTTGAATGGATGAAATTACACATTACTCAAACTATAAAGGGGAAGAGATGCCATAAAGTTTATGGTATCTTTTGTCATTAGCGATTAATAAAGCGATACTGTATAATTTGAAGAGAAGTTTTATGTTCTATAGGCTTAATGTAATGTCTTTCAAAACACATTAGAGTGGTTTGATCGATTTCGTGACTTGGTTGTGAGTTGCCAAACATGTTTGATAAAGTTGAAGTGTTTTGATCACTTTATAAGTTTTGATGAGTTTCTGCCTTACTGCATCAAGTATAGGGTTGGAGCATAGATTAAACATACTCCCTTGTTTAATGTATGTTTAGAGCATGAAGATAGCTCCAATAGTAAAATTAGTAAGAAATAAATTACTAAGCCCTGCACACACCAGATACCAGTGGTCCGATAAAATGGCGGCTTATGGAACCGCACACACCAGAGCGAACTGTGATACGCGATACCGTAGCAATAGTATTGCAGTAACACTGCAGCGTTTTATCACGTACAGTCGTAAAAAAAAAACTGCAAGAATACATTTTATGGTTTTATTTTGTAGTGTTGGATGTGCAGAGTGACATACTAAGAATTGCCAACATTTTGTCCACGGGAAAACCCCTACAATTACTATTAAAAATGGCAGCTTTTCCCAACATTGGACACATTCTTAAAAAATAAAAAATGTACCTACCATATGCATTTTTATGCAAATTAAAAAAAAAAATTGGGACCACCACCATTAAATTGGGACCATTAAATTGGGATATTTATTGGGTAGTTAGTAATTCATTTCAATTTAACAATCCGTTTGTCTGTTTTTTTAGTTTACTTGGACTATTAATCTGTTGAACTATTCAATGCACTGTATAAACAATAAACAATGCATACTATTTTGTTCTGTCCCTGAGAACTCTTTTGCCGATCAATAGTGAAAAAAGTTAAACTACCAAGGACCACATAAGGAAAAAGCTACATAAATGCAAAAGGCAAATATGTACAATGTGTGCTGGCATCACAGTACGGTTTTGAAACAAAATAGCTGTTCAGGACATTTGATTTGAACAACTCACAAAACTCATTTGAACACTGCCGTGAGGGGTTTATGCAATTTGCTGCAGTTGTCAGATAATTGTAAAAACTCGTTAACATTGTCAGTGTTTTTGGGGCACTTTGGGTTTGGATTTTGGATCAAAAGTTTTATATTTTACGCATATCCCAAAATTAGTACATAATGTATTTTTATTTTTGCTTCCCTAACTAGTCTAGGCTTATGGTTTTTATGCTATGTGTGTTGACGTGATACTTATAAGAAAATTAAATACATAAAATTATGGAGGAAGGTTTTCTTATATATATAGGTAGGATGGTAGCAATGAGAACCCTACAGGTACAGATAAAAACACTTAAATGTTAGCTTTGAAGTTACCCTTGAAGTTAGTTTATAGCTAAAAAATTCTCAGTTATTATTTCTACCTTGTTTGTTAAATCAGAACTTACTTTATACTGATTTAAAATTACACATGCATGGTTAATATGACCTACGAAATTAAATTGAAAAAGATTTCGCTTGGACATTGATACCGTAACTAGACTGATTTGAAAAAGAAAATACTACAAAAACAATCTTGACGTTTTCGTTTTAGTATTCCATTGTTATTTTCCATCATTGTCAGAATCTTAGTTGCTGCTATGAAAGATCACTAATGTTTACATATATAAAAATGGCTAACTCATAAAACTTCAACCTGTAATACGAGTCTGCTAAAAATGCGATGATATTTCGTGAAGAGTATTTACATTTATTAGAGTTATATTATATTTCAATATTTACCAGGAATCTTCAACAACGGTGGTTTGGCTCTATTTTTACTCAATCCAGCACGAATATTGTTTCTGTGCATTCAAACGAGAGAGTGCTACGTGAATATGTATTTAGACATTTTCCATTGCAACAGAAATGGATAGCGTAAATTTCCCTTCAGTACCATATTGCGAATATTGCCAATTAATTCGGTTTCACTGATGACTTTGATGGGGTAACAACAACAAAAGCTGGTAAAAAGTTAAGTACTACAGTAATGTTTTTTTTTTCAAATACCAATGAAAAGTACTGTTGAAAATAGCTATCTTAGGAACAGCCAAAAAACATGACAGATTTCTTTTTGCTAATAAAAACACA